TTTGTCAACAGATGGCTTCGGATGGCTTATTTAGGGTTCTTCTACACAAAGGGCTCCTAGTGCTAAGAAGGGCCTTGTGGATGGAAACCAAGGCCCTTTTAGTCCAGGATTCTTTTCATGCAGCGAGAGGACAAGTAGGACATGAACGCAATAGCCCCCTCCTGCCCATGTTCCCCAGCAACTGGTGTATATGGGCATACTGCCTCTGATACTGGAGGCAGCATGTGGCGGTCAGGACTAGCAGCCACTGATAACATATTCCTTCATAGAGTTGTCCAGTCCCCTACTTAAAGCCATCCAAATTGGCAGCCATCACGGCATCTTGTGGAAGTGAATTCCACAGTGGAGCCAATCAAGACTGCGATGTGCTTTGCTTGACTTCACAAGCAATATGAGAAGCAGTTAAAATGAACAATTATGTGAATAATAATAATTAGCACAACCTGGAACAAAGACTCTATGTAGCTGGCAAAACAGCATAATAATGATGTTATTATAAGTTTGTGAAATGGCTCTCATCTGGATAATAATTTATCTTGAAGTTCCAGAAATATTAGTGGCACTTTTAATGTCTTTGGAAAACTTAATCCATAAAATATTATCTCAAATGAATACATCTTTCTGCTCCTAGTATGCTGGCTTACACAACTTCAAAGATGGTGGCTGTTTGTCATTATGACTCACATTAAGTATTATAGCATGGATCTGAGTAATAACAAAAGGCCAGCTCCCACTGTTAACTTTTCTGAACTTCTCATTCAGAAACGCAGGTTTATTTTTAGTTTCTCAATGCAATCACACTGCCTCCTATCGCAACAGTGGCAAAACACAAGTAGGTTTCTGTGAAAGGCTGTGTCAGAAATAAATAGGTGGCACTCACCTCCAAGGCTCCATAGAGAAACAGGAAAAATGTTGCAGGTCATATCTGAAAAGATATGTTAAAGCATCATTATTTACATATTTTTGCATTTTAAAATTCCATCACTTCAGACTCAAATCAGAGCATTCAAGTTTCATTAAAGAACAGTAAAATATGAGGAAACTCAAATAATAATAAAACTCTTAAAAAAAACGGCAGATAAAAGATTAGCAAGGCCTCTGCCGGTTGCCAGAAGGGCGGAAAAAACAGTCTTGGTGCAAGATGTGCCTTGAGGACACAGCTCCAGAGAGAGGGTGCCATACTGAAGAGGTCTTTTCCATATTCCCCACCTGCCTCGCCTCATAAGCCAGGGGCACCCAGCAAAGCCAGGCACGATTGCTTGCCCTGCTCTTCTGCAAGCAGGGTCAGGAGCATGGTGCTGTAAGTCCCTCCCTCTTTTTGTTCTGAACTTTTAACTCCCACTAGGGAGTTAAAAAAGAGAAAAAGTCTCCACTGATTCCATGGAATAAGTTAGGAGACCATTTAGTTTGGGCAGATCCATGAGGAAGTAGAGTGGGTTGCTTGGATGCACCAATAATAGCCATTAGCTCAGGGATAGGAAACATGTGGCCTTCCAGATGTTGTTAGATTGCAACTCCCAGCCTGATTGTACCCTTTGGTTTTTCTGGCTGGGGCTAATGGGGGTTGCAGTCCAACTACATCTCCACCCCTGCATTAGCCCCTTTTAAATCCTCTCTTGCACTCATGTAGAGGGTTGGTGACACTGGATACAGTCAGCCAGTGGGTACAATCTTTCTCCACCCTGTGTGTGGAGGGGATGGCTGAAAGAAGCTATTAGCCTTCTCCAACCTTTTGCTCTCCGGATGTATTTGACTACAATGCCCATCATCCCCTAGCCAGCATGTTTTTGCTCCAGGTTGGGGAAGGCTGTATTAACTATAGCATTGCCCAGGAAGATTTTGTATTTCAAAGGTCTGGTTGGAATTGGTGTGAGAAAGGCTTCCTTGGACGGATCAAGGGAAATCCAGTCTGTCCGGTATTTAGATGTGGAACCTTTGAGCTGCAGAGGTGTTCAGACTTGTACATCTTGGATGCTGCAGTTTTCACTTTTTGGAAGCAGTAGTTCTGCCACTGTGGAGGTTGGGAAAACAGCTATGGCTGAAGTCCATGCCCACAGCCCCAACCCAAAGTCTCTCGCTGCAAGGGGCACAAGAGAACATACACCACCGTTCTGTCGTGTGCCCCTTGCACTCTGCTGCACGCCCACCATCTCCGTCGCACTGGCCCTTTCAGTAGCTGAGAGAGCTCAGCCTGGCTTCATGAGATCCAGGCAAGCTTTCAAAGCACTGCCACCGCTGCTGCTTCCAGCTGCACAGTGGCAAAGGGACAGGCACGCAACCAGGAAAACAGAGGCTGGGTGGCCACTGTTCTACTTCAGCAAATGCCACAGCTGGTGGGGCTCTCCAGAACCCACAGGGCAATGGTGGGCCATCCTGCTGGGCAAGTCAGTGCTTCTTGCTCTTTGTCACCTGATGTGAATGTCTCACCCTCCTTCATCATAAGGCCAACCTTGCTTGAACCGCCCCCCCCCCCTCGCATTTTTTGTACATGTGGAAGTAGTTCGATTAATTAATTAATTAATTAAAAGCATTTCTACCCCATCCCCTACAAACGTCTTGGGACAGCTTACAATAAATAAGTAGAATAAAACAAACCGCACAGCATCTGACCACTAATATACTAAAACCCCAGTTAAATCCCAATTAAACATTAAAATAGCGGGAAAATAGAAAGGGTTTTGCCTGATGCCAAAAAGAATATAATGTTGGTGCCAGGCTAACCTCTCTGGGGAGCATATTCCATAGTCGGGGTGCCACCACAGAGAAGACCCTCCTCCAGGTACTGTACTCTCCCTCCTAATCTCCTTCAAGGATGGCTCCCAGAGCAGGACCTCCACCTCAGATCTCAAGGGGTGGGAAGAAGGTACTTCTTCAGGTAAAGGAGTAAAACAAGCAGCTAAAAGCTTTCAGAAGTACTGTGTAGACTGGATTTAGAACCTGGACCCATGTCTACAGCAGAAGAAGATAAGCATGAGTTGAGAATCATGGAGCACCCTGGCAGTGTGTACTATGTGTCGTTTTCATGAGCAAGCATGCTCAGTGGGGTGGGCAGTTTATGGCCCTCCAGAAGTTTGGGCCTACAACTCCCATCGTCCCTCACCATTGGTTATGCTGGCCAGGGCTGATGGAAACTGTAGGCCAGAATATCTGGAGAGCACAAGTTGCCTACCCCAGATGTACATAACTCCTTTCCGTGTTATGCTCTCAGTTATGGGTGTGGTTGTGGTTGTTAGTCTCCCATGTTCTTTCAGAAAGAAGTTCAGAATTACTTCAGTGCGTAATCCTTTGACTTTTCGTTTAAGGCTCCAACCCTAAGCATATTAATCCATTGTACTCAGCAGGATTTATTTCTAAGTAAACATGCTTAGGATTGCACTGCATGTGATCATTGTGAGATGCAATGTCATTCTTCTGCCAGGCTTCTAGCTTGGTTATTTAAGTCTACACGAGTTGCTCACTATTTAGAGGAAAGCCCCTACAAACCACAGTGTGTCTTCTATGGTCCCACAAAAATTGAGTCCATCTTCTAGCCTATCAAATATAGCTTTTTCTTACATCCCACTCCTTAACGCTCAGTCCTATGCACACTGATGTCTGAGTTAACCAGATGAGATGTATGCCTAAATGGACATGTACAGGATTGCATTACAAACCTACTCTGTTCTTTCCCCTGTGCCTCTTGTACTTCCTTGACTTCACCCAAGGATACAAAGAGTTTACTGATGCCATATTGGCTCAGAGATTGTGCTATGAATCCTAGGGTACTTGCAGATTGAGGGCATCTAGCACTAGCAGGCAGAAGTCATGGTGCACCTCAGGTCCCCCCCTCCACCTGATTTTTAGGGGTAAGTAAAATGGTGGAAGCAGCAGTGGGAAAACACTGCAGGGGTGCAGATTACAAACTCAAGACAGCATCATCTGGACCCCATGCTAAAATGGCACGAATGACTAGGGAGACTGCACAATAAAAGCCTTGTCTGGTACCACCCCCAAAGGCCTGGTTTCAAGTTTTGCTCCTGCCATGAACTTGCCAGATGGCCTTAAGGAAGCCACTCTCTCTCAGCTTCAACTTCCATCTACAATATGGTAATAATAATAATGCCAATATAAGAAATGTGAACTACTGTATCCTGAACATTTTTAAACACCATATTATTATTACTGGTTATTTCTAAAAGGCTGTAATAATGTATTGCTTAACAAATAGTATTGCCGTATTAAAAAAAATATCTGGAAAGTCTCATGGGTGTAGGAATCTGTGGCAGGAAGAAATTCAAGTTTTTAGCTATACTAAACTTCACCTGTTGAATTTTGGGGCTTCAAAAAACCGGAAAAAGAGGATCATTCTCCTTTTTTAGTTTTATCAACTCCTTTGAAAGATTGCCTTTCCCAACCTGGTGCTTTCTAGGTGTTTGGGACTCCAGTGTTCATCGGCCTCAGCCATACAGTTATTGGTCAGGATTTCTAGGAGTTATGGCACAGGCCATCACATTCTTAGGGAAATAACTTCATGGACTCATTATTTGGTGAGGGTGGGGGGCGGTGGATGAATGCGTGTGCATTGGTGAAAAGGTCCCTTCCCAATCCCTTTTCGAAGTGACGCTTTTGAAAGTCAGAAATACAAGAATTATCTGGCATCGCTTATTCCAGGCTTCAGCGCCCTGATGCCACCCAGATGTTTTAGAGGACTCCTCTCGTCCCCAGCCTGCATGCTGGAGGGTACCGGGTTGGGGAAGACTGATTCAATTGATGACTCCCTTTCAGCTGAAAATGCCAAGGGCTGAACGGAGACCTTCTGCGTAGTGCATTACCCCGCACCACCCGGCTAGCGAGCAAAGGCACCGGGGCGAGGGGCAAGGCTCGCGGCTCTGCGCTGATTCGCCAGCTTCCTTCGTGGGCCGACAGGCTGCAGCGTCGGCGGGAGCCGCGCGGGGGCAAGAGCGAGTCGGCTGTGCTTTCCTTTCTAGCCTCACCGCTCGCTGCATTCCCGAAGCCCCGCTGTTTCCGGGCCGGTTATCCGAGCCCGGAATCGTGACGGGGCGTTTGCTCGCCCGCCCGCTCGCCCGCCTTTCGTGGTTGCCCGCACGGCGAAGAAGGCGGCGGAAAGAGGGCGCGAGCCATGGTGCTGCTGGAAAGCGAGCAGGTGCGACGGGGCTGAACGCGCTCCCGGTCCCTGCCCGGCTGCCCGAGTGTGTGGCGCGGGAGGTGGCCTCGTCGTTCTTTGGTGCCCGGGACGCCACTTGGATGCAGGGGCGGGGACCCTGTGGCCCTCCCGACGTCGTGGCCTGCGACTCTTACCAGCCCTAGCAGAATAGCTGATGGGGAGAGGAGTTGTAGGACAGAACTTCTGGCGGACACTAACTTGCCCCCTCCAGCGCTTTAGCGGGTGTGGATAGTAGCCCTCGCCCACTATGTAGAGCCGATGCTGGTGTGGGTGGCGGCGGGTTCAGAATCAGGCAGTGGCGCACCTGGGTAGGTTACGTTGCAGAGCAAACGTGTATTTTCCATCTGCCTTCCTATAATTGTGGAAACACTGGGAAAGGGCTTTGAGGTGCGCCGCGTCTAGAGAGATACAGAGTACTGCCTGCTTCGGCATGTTTCCCCTGTAGAATTATCTTTAACCAGGTTAGCGAGAAATTCACGCAGTGCTTATTCAGAAACTTTCTTCTTACCACTCTGTATACTCAAGGATTGAGTCTGAGCACAAATTGAGGCCTTGGAGCTCTTCTTGTTCGGCTTGCATGGCAGGAACCGGGAGGGGAAGCTAGGCACAGCCCACTGACTCCTAATGCTTTGGGTATTGTTGTCACGTTATCATTAGAGGTATGAATGTATGAGGTAAAATTCAGAAGCATTTCATATAACTAATTTAAACGTGATGACTTGCACTTTTACTAAGTTCTATTAAGATTTCCTATTCAGGGTACTTCTTTGAGAAGTTCATATCTGTATTGTGTTTAAGATACTCAGCTTTAAAATTCAAACCTTATGTAGATCATTAGAGCAGATCATTGTAACTTTCTGGTTTCATTCGTATATTCATCCAAAGCCAGATATTGTTTATGCAGTTATGGACTGGTGGCAGGCTTGTGTACTTTTTCTTCTCCAATGGCGCATTTGGTATGGAGATCCTGGTTTATATTTAAGCAGAATTCCCAATAATATCCAAACAAGGAAACTCAGATTTAATGTTGGTTAACAAACTAGAATATTATCCTGGTTTACTCTCCTGATTTGTAAATTGACAGAAAGTCAAAATTTTAAACAGCACTGAAAATATTTTATTATTCAGTAGCTAGGATTTTTTTTCCTGTGGCCGTACTTAATCAGAAATTTTCTTGTTTGCAGTTTTTGACAGAGCTAACAAGACTTTTTCAGAAATGCAGGACTACAGGCAGCATCTATATAACATTAAAGAAATGTAAGTATTAACTACTAAAACAGTTTTGAATAGTATGTTTTCCTTCAATTGTTCCTTAAAAAAGAAGAAGCTATGAAGGATTTTTCTGTTGAACTGCAATTCAATTAACATGCTCATCCTGAAAAACTTGTAATCTCAGTAATGTAGTATATTACATAGAAAACAGTGGACTTTTTTAAAAAATCTACAATTCTTAATTTCTGTGTTTGCCCAAGTTAGATTGCAGGTTCACTCTTTTTGAAGACAGTACTTTAACCAGTGAATGAAGTAGATAGTGTATCTTTTTCAGCCCTTACAAGAGTGCCGCCGCCACCACCTAATGTCTCTTCAACATGTGCTGGGCCAGATAGGCCAATTACTTCCTGTCCAATGTGGGCATCTCCATAATGTTTTTGGGTAAACATTCCTGTAACACTTTCTGTGTTGCTGGGCAAGGAACAGTCACACTTAAAAAAAACTAAATCAGTAAGAAGTAGGACAAGCCCTAGGTTACAGAAATATAAGCAGATCTAAATTTTTAAAATTTCTGACGTAAGGAGAACGAAGTTTCCTTCTGAGACAGCATTAACAGGATTAGATCATGACCGAAACATCCTTTGGCTTTTAGTGAATAAGCTGTATGTGTACTTTTTAACAACCCTCTTTAATTGTACCTAGTTTAACATAGCAACCTGACATTCTAATAAAGATGTTTTTTCTCAGTTTGTGCATTTAGAATTATCAATAATATTTGATGCAAACTTCAAAAGCCTAGAATTACAAAGCCTGCATTATTACACTGTTCTTTTGCCATCCTTGGATCTTAGGCAATTCATCCTCCTATATAAATATGTATTTTATGCTTCTGTGTAATATAGACGATGGCAGGACAAGACCCATTCCACGCAAGGGCCACGTTGAAGGATTTGAGCCGGTAGACAACAAATGTCTTCTTAGAGCAACAGATGGGAAGAAAAAGATAAGCACAGTGGTAGGTAGTACTCTTTGGTGGATGTTTTCATTCAGCTGAGTTCTAAAGTAATGAAGGCCAAAAAAGGAAGTCCCTATCTTGAGTGCTAACTCAAGTTGCTTGGAGATTGTCACAATAAGGCAATATCTGAATCTTACTCTAACTGTATAGAGTTTCCCAGTCTAAATGATTCAATCTCTTGGAAGATCAGTTTTCCTCTGAAACTTTGATCATGGCCTTGAGCCATATTGAGATGCTGTAGCCCTTTTAAAAATAATTTTCTGATTTATTCAGTTAAAATGGTGATCAGAGGGATTTTTTAAAGTATTGATGTTTCATTTCAGTAAGTTGTATAACATGATTGATTTCTTATAGGTGAGTTCAAAGGAAGTCAACAAATTCCAGATGGTAAGTTTTTATCTGATATTCTTCATTTTCAGAATGTTTTATGGATGGGCTTCACATGCTAAAATCAACACATGAATGAAGGTGCAGTGCTTTCTAGAAAAAGAAGGCCAAGTTCAATTATATTAACACTGAATCTGCAAGTCATGGCACTTGAATTTATCTTCTTTAAAGCCCTATTTCTTGGTTGCAGGCCTATTCAAATTTGCTCAGAGCTAATATGGATGGCTTAAAGAAGAAAGACAAGAAAAGCAAGAATAAGAAAAGCAAAGCGACACAGTGATGGAGCAAATGTTTCCATATATATGATGGACCCAAATTATAGCACGTGCCCTCTTTTCTTTATGTTATCCTTTGACTTCCCTTCCATGTGATAATTAGAATGTAAGCAACTTGTTAAAACAAAGTACTCTGGATTGTGATATGCAGAAGTAAGTGACCCCAAGGCATGTATATTGCACCTGCTCATTTTTGTATCTGGTTTCATTTTTTGAGACAGTTATTATTGGGAAAAAATGAGCATTTGAGAAATAGTACAAAAATAAAGAATTAATATTTGATGTGCTTTTATTTATACTGAAATTCATACCTTGCCTTTATCTCTGTGCTGAAAGAGTTATGCTTTAGGATTGGGCAGAATCATTCAATAGTGTTCCTTTGAATTCGGAAGATTATGGCCTTCCAAGGTAGGGCAAGAAGGAACACAGAGGTAAGAAGAAATTGGAGTGATAAGTTATAGCCTAATGTGGGGAGATGAGTGGCTGATGTAACTTGCAGATGTTTCCAGCTGTCTCTTTCTGTGAGAGAAGATAACTGCTATTTCAAATGCAAAGGGGTGGTAGGAAGGTAGATATGACAGGTGTGAAAATGTAATTTGTAATTAGCACATGTTGAAGCCTTCACACACAAATGTTTGCAACAACTGCTCTTGCTTTAAATAATGATGTGAGCCTCAGAATATTTTTAAAAAGTCATTGTACAATATATTCTGAAAAGTTTACAGCTATATATAATAGACATGGAGCAAGTGAGGCACAGAGGCTATACCCTGAACACCGTTCCAGTCTTGCATTTGGCCCCAGCCATTGGAATTTCTCTCAGGAACAAGAGCAGGCAAATGTTAATTCACAGTATTGGAGCTGGAAGCACATATTTGGTTCCAGGCAGTCCTTTGCTACTGCCACAGTAATCTCTTTAAATGTTCATAATTAAAATATGATTTTGTAATAGTCATCTCTGTAACTGTAGAGGACAAGCACAGGCACTCTGAAAGAAAGCAAGCAAAACACTGGAAATTGTTTTAGCCATTAAATGAATAATAAACAGGAAGTCAAAAGGGATCTCCTGCCCATCTAGTCTGACTCTCAGCTCCAGCCAGCTCCACTCATGACATGCCTACCATGTGTATGCCCAGCCTATCCTTGAACACCCTCACCGATGGGGCTCCAACCACCTTCCGTGGAAGCCCATTCCATACCCTCAGGGTCCTAACTGTCGGGAAGTGTTTCCTGGCATCTAAATTGAACCTGGGTTCCCTGAGCTTTGCTCCATTGGAGCGCGTCCTGCCTTCCTCTGCAGGGGAGAACAGGTCTCGACCCACGTCTGTGTGACATTCCCTCACATACCTGTATGTCACCAACATATCTCTGAGTCTCCTCTTCTCCAGGCTGAAGAGACCCAGTTCCCTCAGTCTCGCCTCATACCCCACCCCCTGCAAACCGGCCACCAACCTTGTGGCCCTACAGTGCACTGACTAACCTGGCTATACCTTCCTGTAACAAGGGGCCCAGAACTGAACACAATACTTTCTCCACTCTGGCCTTCAATTGACCAAAGTTGGCCCTCGTGAAGTCCCATCTTCTAGTACTTGTCCTACCGCTGATTCCAATTTCCAAGATGTGTGTTTGTGTCATAATTTGAAGAGCACAAGACACCTGAAACTTGCCATATGTATTTACAATGTGCACCTCATAGTTACTTGATTTTTGGAACTCGGTAATTAATTTTATTTAATGTAAATATGTCTGTAAGTTTGAAGCATGCAGTATCACTGGCAGTGGACAGAGGCAGACGTTCCTAAGCTGTGCATAGCTTTGTCACTGAAACAGTCTGAAATTAGTGGGTAGCCTAAGGACCATTTTACAGCTGCCCTCCACTCACTGCTGTAGGGCATCTCCCACTCCAAGCATTAGGGATGTGTTGTGTCAGGGACTCTGCCTACATGCCATTCGGTGTGGTTTTACACAGACAAACTAGGCATGCAATCTGTCCAATAGCTTTTACAGCTATGTAACTTTGCTTGAAGGCTGGGCGATATCAAACTTGGGGCTTTTCCAACTGTAAGTAGATAAAGCCAGCTCTTAGATGATAAAGAAGACTCCATTTCAACACAGATGTTGCACTTCACAGTCTGTCAGGATGTTCAGTGAATTATGTCCATGTGTGGTACCCATTCACTTGGACAGTTAAATGGGGCACTGTTTCCCACCACAAATCCCACCTCAATCCAAATCATGGTGTATTTCTGCTTTGGTCTTGTCTCCGTATCTCCAAAGTTACAACCTTTTAATGGAAACCCATATAATTTAAGATTATAATTTAAGTGCATATAATTTAAGCACTCAAAGCCCTCAAGACTCTTTCTAGATATGATGCCCTGTGCTGACCATCTTCACAGAATTTGCAAAATCACATTCAGGGTCCCACATCAGAATCCCATGCCATGTACACACATTTGGTGTACAAGTACTCTCACCTTTTTTCAATTTTGATATTGTAGATTTCATCACAAACCAATTTAAGGTATCTTTGCTTTGGCAATCGTGACATCAGTTGTTTCACAGTTGTATAGAACGTTTGCTCGTCTGCATCACACTGAAAAGGAATCAACCATTAAGGAAATTATTTTATTACAGAATAGGGGTGTTTCCTATTGAGACATTTCTACTGTTGAGAATGTCAGTTTGGTTTTTGATACTAACTCTTCAAGCTGCGCTCAAATGCAGGGGCTATAGGTATATTTAAATAGGCAACTTAGAGAAGGAAGGTAGGTAACTAAGAATGTGGAACTTTCCTATCACCCACAACCATTCTGTGCTATCTTACCCTTGATTCATAGTGCATTCCTATACATGCCTACTCAAAGGTAACCCTCACTGAGGCTTACTCCCAAGTGAGCATTGAATCTCAGGCTTGAAAAGGTTATACTTAAAAGGGGCAAAAACTAGTTTCTTATGCCCCAGGAAGTATCTTTTTCTTGCTGCATGTGGCAAATGGAATGGTTAAGCTTAATTCCTGAGTTATTCATCTTAACACATGGTTTTCATAAATTCAATTAGAAATTCATAGTTTTACCTCTAATGATAAAAAGTGTATGATAGTTTCTTTGGGCAGATCTACCTGCAAAAAGCAAGACACAGAATGTTAAATCATGGTATCTTAAGTACAAGATATGTTTGAGATGCAGGTTTCATCTTGCATTTGTAAAAAAATCCCCCTGTTCTGAAACAGTAATTCTATGAACATTTGAATATTCACCCTGTGCACTTCTTAAGTATTTCCTCCAACAGCCATTTATAATGAATTGGAACTGTACCTTCCAGGAAATAAAGGTAAAATGTGAATTGGTAAGGGAAAACAGTAACCTTGAACTTTCTGAAATCAGTCACAATAAAGTGCACAGGTTCCCCCCTCCCAAACATCCAGCACATTATCCTGTTAGTTACTGCTGGTTGTCAACCAGTGATGAGGTGGAGGACAGGGCTGTGAAGCAACCTATTTCAGGGAACATTCTGTTTGGGGTACTGTGCAAGCTGAAGCTATGACATTTATCCACAGGGCTGTCATTTATGGGAAAGGTGACAGGCTGCAAAGCAGTTCTCACTCCCAAAAGAGAGTGCAAATGAATATAAGCAAGAGAAGACTACGTTTGAAAGAAAGCAAGCTAATTAGAGGCTTAGAGTCTTTGCAGTAGATGTACTGTGCGGTGAGGAGGGGTGGAAGAAAAGCTGTTCTTGGTGCCCTTCTCATAAAGTGCTTATGTTAATAGTGCTTAAGCTTAGTGGGAAATCTGAGACATTGCCTCAAGAGCCCCATAGACACATAGGGGTCTTGAGTGGTGAACAACTAGACTGGTAATGGGAAAGACCAACACCAAATGTTCACACTCCAACTTAGCCTTTCATGCTCCAAACCCTACAAACAGGATGGAAGAGATTCAGACACTCTTCTTGATACCATTAAATTACAACATGGTGGAAACAGAATTGTAGCTTTGTCTGTACTGCCAGAGTTCCATATAGGGAGGAGAAATCCATAGGTTTCCCCCAGAGGCTTGGATAAATCAAGAGATTTAGGCAACTGCCAAGCAAAAGCCCTACTTTCTGGAATTCAACCAGAAATCCAAGTAGCTTCACCACTGATTTCTAAACCCCCACCCACAGACACATCTTTAAAACATTATTATTTCAGTCTGCATTTCATTAATTGATTTTCATAGGATTAATCTGTACTGCTCATTTTACAAGACAATTTTATTTGGACAATTTCAGAACTACACACCACTTTTAATAGCTTAAGTTCCAAGGTGGTTTAGAAACCTTTAATATTAATAGCTACTTCTCTTTTTATTTTCCTGTTAAATGTTTATAAGCTCACCTGGCATAGAAAGGTTATAAGGCTACCACATTCCTTTAAATTTGTAAAGTATTAGCTGCAGAGGCAGTGCCGCTACACCCAGCACCTTCTCCCGCTGCCTCCTTCAAAATACTGTTTGCGGAATCAGCTGATAAACTGTGGTCAACTTCAACAGGCCAGTTAATCCAAACAGTTTATCCCTAAACCAAAAAATGAGTAGTAAATATTAAAAGGGGTAAAAGTTCAGAAAATATGATCATTTTCTTCGAAGTGAGGGATGGCAGTGGAAGTGGTAGTGCTGCTATCAAGGGGACACCTTCCTTCCTGGAGAGCAAGCCTCAAGAGTTGCTACAAGTAGATAGAAGTCAGAAAAGTTGAACTAGTTATTAGAAACACCTGTCTCACTGAACAAACTGTCAACTTCAGTTACTTTATGAGAATGCATATCTTACTTAATTTGGATTTAAGAGCAAAGTGACTTACTGCTAAAATTTCAACTTCACTTGTCTTCAGTTGCAGAGTGGCAATGCAGGTTTGGAGTTTAGTTTGCACCTGGATATTTCATGCAATTCAAAGAAAGGTGTACACATAAGCTGAAATTTCTTTTCAAATTAAAATATGAATAAGCAATTCTGTAAAAGTGCGTATTCTTTGCGGCCCCTGTGACTCATGCATTTCTGAAAAAGGCAGTTTTCTACATCTTTGTTCAGACTCTAGGGCCACACTGTGTCAGGGCTCAGCCAAGGAATTCAATTTCAGAACCAGGGCGGAACCCAGTATATTTTCCCTGTCACAAAAAGAAATCCTTTCCAGTGTCTCTCTTTACCCACCACATCCAGAAACTTCCTTCCAGAGGAGTAAAGGATCAGCTAGACAGGAACTTCATCTCCCTGAGTGGGGGAGGGAAAGAGACCCATCCCTGAAAAGGGAAGCAACTTTACTGAGACGAAGAGATTCAAATATTGCCCACCAAGTTTGAGGTCAGAGTAAACTGTGGCTTTCTCCCCTCTCTCAAGAAAGGGCTGTAACAATGCCACAGAGCATGCTCTGCATGCAGGAGGTGCCAGGTTCTGTTCCCAGCTCCTGCAGGTAGTTTTCCCCAGCTAAATGAACCAGTGTTCTGACTTGGAAGAATACTCTCCCTGCTCTCCACACAATTTATGGTGAAGCTACATGGCTATGAGCACACAGTAAAGCAGTTGCTGAAGAGAGAGCCATCCTCAATACCTGGCTTTCATACCGCCGCCTGGTACTTGCAGATAACTTCTCAGGTGGAACAATGGAGACATTTGGTATTGCTACAGTCCCATGTGATTCAAACAAACCTAAAATGGTACAAAGATTGTGTTAGTCATATTTTATGCGCCCTCTATGCATAAACAATACTGTAAAAACTATTGCTTGTAGTGCCATACACTTAAAAAGAATCTGGATACCAGGCTGCACTACTGTAGTTCCTTGCAAAAGTTGAAACACAGACATAGCAATCAAAATAAGTTTCATGAAAATTGCATTTTCCATGGAAGTTGCTAAAATCTAAAGCTATATAGCCCCTTGAGAGCAACCTGTTATAATAGAAATCAGTTGTTTAATGAACAGTACTAGATTATTCTAATTATATTGTTATGACATACCTGAAGTGCTAGAAAATGATCCTTTTAGATTTTGTGCTGGCAGATTATCAGATGTTTCTCTAAAAATGAAATAAATAAAACAAACAGGTCAATTAAAAGATTTTTACTAGGTAATGTTATCTCTTTAATAAGACAGAAATGGAATTGTCAAGTACTTGACAGCAGAGGCAAATTGAAAATAGGATAAAATTATAACTGACTCAGAGTGCTTAAATAAACATGTCTAACTATGCACAGGATTGACACATAGCAAATCTCTGTTAACTGCATCCAATTAGATGAAGGTTTGCCTTTCCACAAAAAGGGCTCCTTTCCTTTGCAGACGGGCTCAAAGGCCACAAAAGTTTATCAGAGGAGGAGGGATGGGCAACCATTTTTATGCTTTCTCCAGCATCACCACCTCCCACACTGTTCTATATGGTCACCCCAACACTTCAGAGCAGATTCTGAGGCTAGGGGCTGCAGGAATAAGTGAAAATCATGTCAGCCTCTTTCCACTCACAGTCTGGATTTAACCCACAGTATTTTATGAATGGATAAAGCTTTAATACAAATTTAGAAACAGCTTAATAATACTTAACCAGATGAGGACAATTTTGTATTTTACATTTATTTTCAAATATGCACTTATTTATCCTGAGCTACTGGCGAAACCCAGTATCTGCTTTGCAGGGTTGTACCAGAGCAAATTCAAATAGCAAGATAGATTATGTCTGGCTTTCTAAAACACACAGACATGCAAACACTTTTGACTACCATTCTTTACTGTTAAAAGAAAACACTGGTTCTATGACAAGTAATAGTGGATTGATTAGACTTAGCTTAGGTGTTTGGTGATCACCCCAAAGTGTGCTTAATTGTCAGCTTCCATTGTTTGCCGCAGCATCCATGTAAAGTGGGGCCATGCACAGACAGTGCAACATCACAGACCTACCTAAGGTTACAGTGCTGCTGAGTGCAACACTGTCTAGCTCAGCATGCATCACCTGATTTGCACAACTCAGGCTGATGAATTATATCCTAGGAACCGTAGGAAGAGAATAACTTTAAAATACAAGTTAACTTGCATCAACCCTAGGAAATACTGAGATGAAAATGAAAATTGGATTCTAAGCAATGAAATTTAAGGAATGAATGAATGAGTAACTTTTTCTGTGTTTATGCAACTTGATACATTTTGATGCAAAATGATTTGAATTTAGTGTGCAAAGATGAAAATATTTCAGGAAAAGCTCACCACCACAACTTATACTGAAAGTTGCACTTAATTAAAGATACATTGGAAAAAGAAATAACATGGATGGGTGGTACACTAGTTGTAATTTTAAAAAAATGAATCATTGAAAAAAATGATTCACATCATTTACATAACTTGCTAATTCAAAGGAAGATCTTCATTTCTAAATTGCTTTCCAACCAAATATGTTTAAGTAAGTATGAATATGGCTACCTGTTACTTCTTTCATCACAGAATTTGGTCCTTAGTTTCTGAGCTAAATGCTCCACCAGATCAGACTCCAAAACTCTTTTTTCTGTTTGCCTTTCCTTCTCAAATGATTTAACCTGAACAAATACAAATTAAATGTTTCAATTGTTTTTATATTCCTAAAATTGAAAAAAGTAAACAGAATTAAAAACAGGGAGGGAAGAGACATGGGTACTACTATAATGTGTTGCAAATAAAGATTGCCTGTGAAGCTGCTGCAGAATGCAGCCACCAAAATACTGAAGGGGGCTAGGTGAGCTGATCATGTGACATCAATGCAGTGTCAGTTGCACTGGGTGCCAGTAGGTGTCTGAACCCAATTAAAGTGCTGGTTTTAAGCTTTACAGCCTTAAATGATTTGTGCTGAAGTAATTTGATTTTTTTTCACATATTCTTGTATCAGCCTGCTTGCATTCAGAGGTTATCAACAGCATTCTTGTCATTTGCCTGTCCCTAAGAACTATTTGGCTGGTGAGTGCAGGGGAGAGGGGGTCTTTCAGATGTAGCCCCCATGTCTGGAGTTGGTTTCCATCAAGGATTTTTTAGGTCCCCTCTACATAACTTCAGGAAAACTCAGAACACCCACTTGTTTTCACTGGCTTTTCTGCGGTCTGTGGACTGCAGGTATTCTATTGTTTTACAACATTTTATTGAATGTTTAGTTACTTATCATTATTTTATTTATTTTGCATATATTCTTTTTTTAATTTTGCACACCAGCTCAAGAGGGGGTTACCTATAAAGGCAGCCTAAAAACAGCATTGTGCAAGATAAAGCATCAATCCTTATTCTGAAAGGCTTTTCTCCATGATCAAAATGTGCTCCAGCAGCATTTGCCATTCCTTTTCCAGGAAACACAATGTGATAACTACTCTGTGTGAAATGAATGGGTGAAGAGAGAAGGATCGCTTCCTTCAATCCATTTCAGAAAAAATATGTAAAAAGGGTTATGCTGGATCAGGCCAAGGGTCCATATAGTTCAGCATTTTGTTCACGCAATGGCCAACCAGCCACCCACAGGAAACCTAGAACTAGGACACAAGTACAACAGGTTGTCTTGCACCCAGATTCTCCAACAACTGTTGTACAAAGAACTATCATCTCTGATACTGGCAGCAGCACAGATCCACAGGAACTGGTAGCCACTGATACCCTTATCTCCATGAATTTATTTAATCCCTTTTCAAAGTCACCCAAATTGGTGGCCATAACTAATTCTATAATTCACCTTTATGTGCCTGAAGAAGTTCTTTTTATTTGTCTTGAACCTCTCCCTGACCTCATGGGATGACCCCTGGACCTACTGTTAAGGAGAGGGGGAAAGTCCCCCTACCCACTTTCTTCACATCCCATGTTTATTTCATGTTCATTCTGATTTATTATTGCTCTTTCCCACATATGCACAGAGCACAGGAGATGGAGCATACAAGACTCTCTAAACTAGTAAAAATACCACCACACAGTAATTTGGACTGAAAGGATCCAGTGTGCAAATGCCTCTTGACAATCCCCCCACCCTGCACTGCTGCAAGAACACATCTTGCAGAACCAAAGGATTCTCTGCCCCTGGAGGGGAAGAGAAGTCCCACTGTGCAAGCAGAGTTCCCTTCCTACTATTTGGATCCAACGCACTGATGACAGAACAAAGGCAAGGCATCTAAGGCAGCCTTGTTGCTCTCTGTCCCTTTTTCAAAAAAATAAATATATTAAACATCTATCTATGCATTTATTATAACAAATATTACAATTATTTATATTATTTTGTAAATTTATATCTCACCTTTCTTCCATCATATGTCCTCAGACCAAAGCAGTACAGCAGTTGGGCAAGTGAGCAAACAGAGCGGGGGCACAGGAAGGGCAAGTGTGTGTTTAAAGATTCCTATCAACATTTTACCTTTACATGATTTCCTTCTTTATCGGAGATGAGGGCTACATAGGTGATTCCAGAACACCTGCAGTATTCCTGTAATTCTTCCTGAGACTAAAGCAATCACAAACAATACAAAATATAAATATGAGTTTCTACATCACCAAAAGCATTTTCATTCCAAAGGGGGAAGATACAGAGGCATCCAGTATGGTTACAGTTCTGCCTTTGGCTTACTTGGATCAATCACGATTTTTCTGCCTGACCTACCTCACAGGGTTGATGTATGGCACTCTGAATTCTCCAAAGGAAGAGAAAGATAAAAGCAAGTAATAAATACATTTCCTAACAGGCTCATGTGCCTCATTTTTCTCAGCTTGGTCAAATGTTAATGGTAGCACTTATCTAACATCCCTGTTTGAAAATGTGACTTCCATATAAGGGAAAATATATAAAGGTGTATTCTCTCTCTCCAAATTGCCACAACAACAAAAGTACAAGTCCTTACAGTACATTCAGTTGATACTGTTGTATCACATCCCATCCCTTTGATAATGAACTCTTATGAGAAACTACCTTAACAAAATGTTTGCATTAAGGACTTGCTCCTAGGTTCCAATTACCAAAGGCAGTTTCTGACTGGTCCAGACTGTTGCAACTTAAAATGTAGCTTAAAATCCATCCTTCACATGCAAGTTCAACCGTAATGTCATAAGTCGAGCTGGCTGGAGCTGGGGGTCAGACTAAATGGCCCAGGAGACCCCTTCTGACTTGCTCGGTTTCTGTGTTTCTGTGTAATCTCTGCACTGTGCCAGTGGGACTGGCCAGAGGTAGAAGAGCTACCAACCCCACAGGTTAAAAAATCCCTAGGAGGAAGACGGCAGCTTTGGTGGCCAGTGACAGTAGGCTTTCCTGCAGATTGCAGGTGGATGGGATCTTTAGCTACAGATGGAGAATACTGGCGGGTGGAGTTTTGCCTGGCTGCAGGTGGGCCGGAGGACCTACAGGCAGGACTATGCTGAAGACTCACTAAATTTACTGGCCAGGTGGTAATGGTCACTCTGCTCTGCTCTAGTGTGGCACCACTTCAAACAAAGAAAGCGTAGCCAGCACCTGAGGCAGAAACCCCAAGCTTTGTCCTCATGGTGGCAAAACAGCAATTTGCTTGGTTTCAGTGATGCCCTACAATTTGCCTCCTGAGTTGAAATACCTCAGAGAGCCTAATGGCAGGCCTAGCTCTGACTGTGGTTGTCATCCTGGCATGGGCATCTCGTGAGCGGAGCCGGCTGGAGCCAGGGGTCAGACAAGATGGCCCGGGAGGCCCCTTCTGACTCGCGCTGTTTCTATGTTTCTATCCTGTGGCTCCTAGAAAGATATAGATTAGGTCTGTGAGCATGTAACCCAAACCCACAAAGAAAATTTACCTGGGACCAGTCATACATGATTTCAGCAGCAATTCCTGCAGCCCAAAGTTTCTGAACAACATTGATTGCTCTGGTCATTGACATCTGGCCCACACTAACAACTAACAGGTCACAAGTGCTCAATGTAACCTGGAGAAAAAAAAGGAGAACAGCAGGTTATAATATCTGAGGAATTGAAGTAATTTAAACTGAATGTTAGGGAATCTTTCTTCAGTAACATAAAGGCACTTCAGCCTGCTTAATATCCTTCAAAATATTAGTTGATTATATTTTTATTAAAATACAATTGCTAACATTAATAATGATGGTGTATTCTATTATTACTACTGATTACATTTTCATACTACCCTTAACCAAAGCTCTCTGGGTAAGTCACAATATTATGTAACAAATCCAGATCTCTCACAAGCCCAACCCTGCTTAGCTTCCAAGATTAGGCAGGATCAGGCACTTCAGGTTATACAGAAGCTTTATTTGTTGGGCTACATGTAAGATATATTTAAGACAGTTTTACCAGGATGGAGAAAGATCACAGACTGAAAAGTAGACTTGAGTAGACTTGTTTCAAGTAAAAGGTTACATATTTTCCCCTCAGGTTCCTATTACATGGCTCTCTGCACAATTTAATACAAGAATTACTAATCAAAAGGCAATTTGCTCTCAATTCAAGTAACTCAGAATGCCCAGGCAAGATCTTTACTGAGACTACCTGAGAGGACTTAAAATAGGTAAAGCAGAAAGACAAACGTACTGGCTCTTCCAAATTCAAAACTGCTGAACTTATTCTGTCTATAGCTATGCTGACTCCAACTGCTGAAGGAACTGGACCAACTGCTTGTGGACCTCTGAATTGTGGGATCTGAAGAGATGAGAAGCAGAGTTAGGCTAAAAACCACTCATTTCCTTCTGTCTCAGTAAAAGGTATAGTTTGTAACACTCACCAGATGATCGTATCTACCCCCAGCAGCGAGAATGTCAGTAACTATTCTCTGTCTGCGTTTTATATATGCAATAAATTGGAATATAATTCCATTGTGCTGCTGTATTTTATATACCAGCCCCAAATTTATGGAAACCTGTAAGATAAAAAGTTTAGTTTATTTTGTTATCCTAGCCACAGGTGATTATGAGCAGCACAGCCCAGTTCACCTAGAGAAATGGTATAAATATATGCCCTCCCGCCCCTTGAGATCAGCAACAGATGCCCTTCTCCGGGAACCCTCTGTGAATGATATTAGGAAGGTGAGTACCCGGAGGAGGGCTTTCTCTGCGGTGGCGCCCCATCTATGGAATGAGCTCCCCAGAGAGGTCCGCCTGGCGCCGTCGTTGTTTTTCAGCACCAGGCTAAGACCTTTTTATTTAAAACTTATTTTAATTGTTAATTTATTGGTTATTTATAGGATTTTAAATCTTTTAAGCCGAGATGCACCAGGTTTTAATATTTTCATTGTACAATTTGTTATATTTTGTTCTTGTTGTGAGCTGCCCCGAGGCTTTGTTGTGATGGGGGTGGCATAAAAATGTTTTAATAATAATTATAATAAATAATAATTATAATAAATGCTTAGGGTAACACATGCACAAGGAAAACATGCATTGGACTAAAATGGTTTACTTATTTATTGTATTTATATCCTGCTTTTTTCCTTCAAGGAACGCAAGGAAGTTTTTATTATCCACCCTCCCATTTCAAAGTTCGCTGGGTGGTTTACAAATAATTAAAATCCCCTGAGGAAAGCAGCAAGTGACCTAAAAGTATCTAACGTCTTTGAGCTGGCTTTACACTAGCTGGGAAAGGTTAAAGACTGCTGGGCAAACTCAACCATTCTTTCTCCTTTGTGCAGTAAAAGCCACATCCCTTACCCCTTGATATTACACCATGCAAAATGTTACATACTACTCACTCAAGATGACTAGTTTCAACTTGTGCTTTTTGTACAGCATTTAAAGATGAAGTTATGTGTTTGACCTACAAGGAATTAGTTATACAGTCCACTTCACAAACCTGAGATTTTATGCCAAGTTTCTTTAACAGACCCATTGTTTCTTCTAATTCCTTCATGCCCAGTTTCACCATTGAGGTGACCCCTGTCTTTTGCTTTAACATTGTGTTTAACAAAGGGGTTAGATCTTGCAACTCTCCTTTCTGCTCAATAAATCTGTAGAGTCGTACAAGCTGAAAAGCAAGTCAGAGAAATACAGTATATACATGACAGCCCATAAAGTAGTAGAAAAATTCTAACTGCTACCCTGTAAGCATCTATGAGATTTTTCCTGTAAGCATCTAGCACTAAATAAAAACAGTTTGATCATCCTAATATCTATGAACTCCAGCTCTAGTCATCCAGCAGCTCTAGTCATCACTGGACCTGGCTCTTACTGGATAAGATACAAGAAAAGATTGAATAATTTTCCCAGAAAGTAATTGCCCACTCTTGGAACCCTCTGATACTATCTATGGAAGAAATACAAATTTAAGCACACTGGCTGGATTTGCACATTGCAAGAAGCCATAGTAATTTCTTATCCTTGTTGGTTAGCTGTGTCATCAGAACCCAGGTGTGGAGTTTCAGCATGGTATGTCTGGTTTCCCCAAACCACAGTAAGACAGGGCATTTTGTTCAAAGGTTTCCACACTTCACCACACTTTCTCATGACAGCTGGACCTGGATGCTCCATTTTACCACTTGTAGAGAAGAAACAGAGGGCCATGGAAAGAGCAACAATGGAAAGGGGGCTGGAATGGCTGATTAGTGATACAGAGATGCAGATATACTTGGGAGGGGAAAGAGGGAGAAACCACCTCAAAACCTCCATGGACCAATCAGGGAAAGGCAGATGAAGTCATAGGGAGCCTCTTTGAAATCAAAGAGGGATTTTACTCCCAGGGACTGCTGGGATGCATGGTGAGAGCTAAAGGACCAGTCAAACTGTGAGTCTGTTAGGCTTTGTGTGACAGGTAGGCTCAAACAATAACTTACATCCTGTGGAAACTGCACAGAGTTGTCTGCTGTGACATGTGAAGCCGGTCACTGGACTTAATTGCTAACCATTCTGAGACTCCTTCAGGGTGGAAAAGTATGATATAAATGTATCCACAAACAAACAAACAAACAAACACAGCATCCAAGTAAATTTCAAATTACTTACACTGTTTGATGACAGAGAAATATTGTAAAACTTGGCTTCCACTTCCCTTTTAGTTAGTTTTTCAGTCTGCAGCAAAATAAATGATCATTATAGATTGTTTGATAGTGCCTTATTCCTAGTTTTATTTAAAAACACATAATGAGAAAGTTAAAGTGTGGCATTAAAGTTTCCATTCTATCACCCATAGCTGTACAATATTTACATGCAGATCCTCAGAGAGTGTTGAGGTAAATGGTTTTAAGATTCAGTATGCCAGTGATTATTGAACAAATTTAAATTTAAAATTTAGTGATTATTGAACAAACAAGTGCCTTACCACAGCCTCATACAGAATGGCGTAAACTTGATTGAGTTTATCTTCAGGTATTCCACAATGCAGGAGGATAGCTTTCAGTAAAGCTGTGTGATTCAAGAAGATGCTGTAATTTCTTTCCTAATAAAGAGAAGAGAGTTTAGCTTTTATTCCTATTACCTGTTCTAATGTAATGGTATCCACATGTCTACATTCACTAATTTTCTATTCTTACCCCTCCTAATTCAAAAAACCCTGAAACTCAGTCAGCCCAAGGAGTCTTAAGATTGTTTTTTCCTTGTATCAGCTCTTCCCAATGACAAACAGCTTTAAAACTCTACCTGAGTTCAAAAATAACTTGAAATGTGTATGGGGGTGGTGATCAGCTACTGACAGGAAAACAAGCCAAAACTCTTACATCAGCCAAAGCAGCTTTGGCAATGAAGGCAGGTATATCAACTGGCATTTGCAGTATGATCTTTTAAAGCATTACTTATTCATTAAAAGTGTAATACTACCCATTCAAGATTCAAAGGGCTTAAGGGGGTTTGGATGGTGTACTGGAACCTCTCTGCTGGTTGAGAGAGGTGCTGCTGCTGGCCCCTGCTCTGCCCAGGGTGGTGCAAACTACCACTGGCTGTTCTCTTGCTGGGGCAGGGGTGAAAAGCCCTTACAGATGGTAATCCGGTGGTGTTTTGTGGGTGGGGAGGAGCCAGCATGGATCTCTGTTGGCCCTAAAGCCATTCTGATTCCCTGACTTGCCTGGAGCTTACATAGCAAAACCCACAAAAAGCTTCCAACCTGCCCTGATTATTGTGAGCTAGCAGGGCTTTGAATACACAAACCCATGTTAGATTGCTCTGTGAGATAGTTTTAAGGTTGCATTAGATAAAAATTAGGCTTATTCCTACTCTTGTCTTCTGATAAATGGGTGTGAGGAGGCAGAGATTGTCTCCTCTAACCCATCAATATTACACTAACCCAACAATATTACAAAAGTTGGAAAGAGTGAGGCAGCAGAACACCTACCTGCAGCACAGGAAACTCCTGGATTATTTCAGAAATAGTGTAGATTGTTTCTGCAATGGGTAAAAAACTGTTGCCAGCAGGGGTGATGATATCAAATGCACATTCTAAGAGTTCTCGTGGGTGACAGCGATCCAATTTTCGAGGCCTGAAAACCCGCTCAATGCAATATCTAGAGGGGAGAATGTGACCATTTAAACATATGAAGCTGTTTTCTACTGGACAGGACGCTGGCCCATCTCCTTCCTTTCTGTCTACTCCAACTAATGGTGGTACTCTAGAACAGTTTTCTCTAATCAGGTGACCCTCCAGATGTTTTGATGATGATGATTTTTTATTTACCTTTCTTTTAAAAAAGACATCAGCTGACTTATAACGAAGTTATTAACACCTGGCTAAAACCAATTTCCATTAAAATATCATAATAAAACTAAAACATCTATACAAGATAAAAAAGTTATTGCATGCCTTGAAATGACTGGGAATAGAGAACAGTTTTGACTAGGTGCCCAAAAGGTGACAATGTTAGTGGCAGGCAAGCCTCTCCGGCAGACTGTTCCAGGCTGGAAGGCTGCTTTGGAAGAGGCACCCCAAAGAGGGCCTTAGATGTTGATTGCAGTGGATTGGTAGTTTCATAAGAGGAGAGGAAAACCTGTATACCACTGGATTTGTGGTTCCAGGCCACATACAGCTTTATATGTCAAAACCAGCACACTGAACTGGACTCGGAAACCAGTCTAAGCATGTAACACCAATTCTGGCAGCCAGTACAAAAAAATCAGAATTGGTGTTATATACTTAGACCTTCTGGTCTTGGTTACAAATCTGCCCGCCACCATGGAGGTGCCAGGAACTCAATCTGGGACTTATGGCTTGCAAAGTATGACTGCTGCCACAGCATCTCCCTTACAGGTCAGTTGTTGTTTTTTTAAAGTAATAAAAATATACACATGCATGTGTTTGTCCAATTTATTTTATTTATTTAAAACTTTTATATGCCATCACCACATGTCTTTGCATCTTGGGACGGCTCACAAACGTACAATTAAAACAATAACAAATTCCATAAAATTATATAAAAACAAAAAAGCGACTGTTAATGATAAAATATTGATTTTTAAAATAGCAATTAAATAAAAAGGTTTTAACCTGGCACTGAAAAGAATATAAACTCAGTGCCAGGCACACCTCTCCAGGGAGTGCATTCCATAATCTGGGTGCCACCACAGAAAAGGCCCTGCTCTGGGTAGATGTTCTTTTTATCTCCTTTAAAAAGGGCTTCCAGAGCAGAGACTCTCCCACATATCTTAAGGCGTGTGAGGGCAAGTAAGGAAAGAGGCACTCCTTCAGGTATCTTGGTCCCAAGCCATTCAGGGCTTTATAGGTTAAAACCAGCACCTTGAATTGGGCCTGGACTTCAACTGGAAGCCAGTGTAGCTGGTAGAGGACCAGCGTTATATGAGAATAACGACCGGTCCCCGTCAGCAACCTGGCAGCTCTGTTCTGTACCAGCTGAAGTATCCAGACCATTTTCAAGGGCAGCCCCATGTAGAGCGCATTACAGTAATCCAACCGGGAGGTTACCAGAGCATAAATCACCATTGCTAAGCAGTGCTTGTCCAGGTAAGGGCACAGCTGGTGGATCAGCCGAAGCTGTAGGAAAGCACTCCTTGCCACCGCCGCCAGCTGGCAATTGCTCTTTGTCCAATGTTGAAGAAAGGAGGAAATAATTCATTCCTTATTCTCTTACCTTTTCAGGTTTGTTATATTATTTCTAGCTACAAATCTTGCAAAAGGAATCTGAAGGGTAAAAAAGGTAAAAAGCAGAGTATAAGTTGTAAAATAATCAAATAAAACAAAGACAGTTGGAAATATTTTTAGAAATTATTACATTTCTTTAGCTAAACTAAGGTACTCTACTATCCAAATATGAGATGGCTTGATTCCATAAATGAAGTCACAGTTTTGAATTTACAAGAGCTGAGCAGGGCTGTCATGGATAGGGCATTCCAGAGGGCTTTCATTTGTAGGGGTGCTGTAAGTCAGACACAACTTAAATGCACATAACATCATCTCAATATTCCATTAGTCCTATCAGCTCCCTTTACTTAAGAAATCAGGAGAATTCTGTCAAGTGAGTGAGCTTCCACTTGTACAATGGAGACTCCCCTTTCCCTTCTCTCCACTGCATGCTCCCGTGTGCTCATCAAACCCTACAGTGCAGATTTTGGGAAAGGTTCAGTGGCTGAAAGAGACAGAGCCCACTGCATACTACCCATTGTTTCTATATCTTACCAGGAGTTTATTTTAATTTCTAAATGGTAATTGATAACCAAATGGCTATTTATAATTTTATAAATTAAAATTTATAAATATCTAATGCCATTATTTAGATTTTCTAGGAAAATTTCCCTCCAAAATTAAACTGTTTCTCTACAGCAATAGTCCACATTCTAATTTAAGTCACTAGTCACAGGTCTCAGTTAGAATCCAAGGCAAACCATTCAATATCACCACAGTCCAAGTCTATGCCCCAACCACTGGTGCTGAAGAGGCTGAATTTGACTGGTTCTATGAAGGTCTACAACACCTTCTAGAATTAACACCAAAAAATGATATCCTTGTCATCATGGGGGATTGGAATGCTAAAGTAGGAAGCCAAAAGATAACTGGAATAACGGGCAAGTTTGGTCTTGGAGTACAAAATGAAGCAGGGCACAGGCTGGTAGAATTTTGTCAAGAGAATACGATGGTCATAGCAAACACTCTTTTCCAACAACCCAAGAGACGACTCTACACATGGACATCACCAGATGGTCAACACAAAAATCAGATTGACTATGTGCTCTGCAGCTAAAGATGGAGAAGTTCTATACAGACAGTAAAAACTAGACCAGGAGCTGACTATGGCTCAGATCATGAGCTTCTTGTTGCAAAATTTAGGCTTAAATTGAAGAAAGTAGGGAAAAGGACTAGGCCACTCAGGTATGACCTAAATCATATCCGAGCACTAGACCACTCAGGTATGACCTAAATCATATACAGTAGAGGTGACAAATAGATTTCAGGAATTAAATCTGAGTGCCTGAAGAACTATGGACGGGAGTTCGCAACATTGTACAAGAGGTAGCAACTAAAACCATCCCAAAAAAAAGAAATGCAAGAAAGCGAAATGGCTGTCTGAGGAAGCATTACAAATAGCTGAGGAAAGAAGGGAAGCAAAAGGCAAGGGAGAAAGAGAAAGATACACCCAATTGAATGCAGAATTCCAGAGAACAGCTAGAAGAGATAAGAATGCATTCTTAAATGAACAGTGCAAAGAAATAGAAGAAAACAACAGAATAGGGAGGATGAGAGATCTCTTCAAGAAAATTGGAGATATGAAGGGAACAAAGGGAACATGCAAAGATGGGCATGATAAAGGACCAAAATGGCTGGGACCTAACAGAGGCAGAAGACATTAAGAATAGGTGGCAAGATTACACAGAGGAACTATACAAGAAAGAGCTTAACTTCCCTGATAACCATGATGGGGTGGTCACTGACCTCGAGCCAGACATCCTGGAATGTGAAGTCAAATGGGCCTTAGGAAGTATGAGCAACAACAAAGCTAGTGGGCGCGAAAGTCTTACAGCTGAACTATTCAAAATCCTAAAAGACGATGCAGTAAAAGTGCTATACTCAATATGCCAGCAAATTTGGAAAATTCAACAGCAGCCACAGGATTGGAAAAGGTCAGTTTACATTCCGATCCCAAAGAAGGGCAATGCCAAAGAATGTTCAAAATACTGCACCACTGCACTCATTTCACATGCTAGCAAAGTTATGCTCAAAATCCTACAAGCTAGGCTCCAGCAGTATGTGGAATGAGAACTACCAGAAGTACAGGCAGGATTTTGAAGAGGCAGAGGAACTAGAGATCAAATTGCCAACATACGCTGGATCATGGAGAAAGCTAGGGAGTTCCAGAAAAATATCTACTTCTGCTTCATTGATTATGCTAAAGCTTTTGATTCTGTGGATCACAACAAACTGTGGCAAGTTCTTAAAGAGATGGGAGTACCAGACCATCTTATTTGTCTCTTGAGAAACTTATATGTGGGTCAAGAAGCAATTGTGAGAACTGGACATGGAACCACCGATTGGTTCAAAATTGAGAAAGGAGTTCGGCAAGGCTGTATACTGTTGCCCTGCCTATTTAACTTAAATGCAGAGCACATCATGAGAAAGGCGGGGCTAGATGAATCACAAGTTGGGATTAAGATTGCCAGGAGAAATATCAACAACCTCAGATATGCAGATGATACCACTCTAATGGCAGAAAGTGAAGAGGAACTAAAGAGCCTCTTGATGCAGGTGAAGGAGGAGAGCGCAAAAGTTGGCTTGAAACACAACATTAAGAAAACTAATTTCATGGCATCTGGTCCTATCACTTCCTGGCAAATAGATGGGGAAGAGATGGAGGTAGTGACAGATTTTATTTTCCAGGGCTCCAAAATCACCACAGATGGGGACTGCAGTCAAGAAATTAAAAGACGCTTGCTCCTGGGGAAGAAAGCTATGGCAAATCTAGACAGCAAACTAAAAAGCAGAGACATCAACCTGCCAACAAAAGTGCGTATAGTCAAGGCGATTGTGGTGAAAGTTGGACCATAAGGAAGGCTGAGCACCGCAGAATTGAAGCCTTTGAATTGTGGTGCTGGAGAAGACTCCTGCGAGTCCCTTGGACTGCAAGGAGATCAAACCGGTCAGTCCTAGAGGAGATCAACCCTGACTGTTCTTTAGAAGGCCAGACAATGAAGATGAAACTCAAATACTTTGGCTACCTAATGAGAAGGAAGGACTCACTGGAGAAGACCCTAAGGCTGGGAACAAAAGAAGAAGGGGATGGCACAGGATAAGGTGGCTGGATGGAGTCACCGAAGCAGTTGGCGTGAGCTTAAGTGGACTCTGGGAGATGGTGGAGGACAGGAAGGCCTGGAGGAATGTTGTCCATGGAGTCGCAATGGGTTGGACACGACTTCGGACTAACAACAACAACAAAGTCACAGGTCTTTTGAAATTCTTCCATTGAAGAAACTGATAATATTATGATACGGTCCTAGGGGGATGCCAGTAAGTCTCTAAATGCAGAGGCTTACAGCTATCCAGTGTCGCGTAAATGACATGACAGAGGCAATCATCACCTCCTCACTTCTCCTGCTTTTTATTTTTGATAGATGACTGTTTTCAGCTGTCTAGTTATGGCACTTAAAGAAGGAAAGGGAGGCTGGAGCAGCATGACAACCCCTCAGAGCATGGCCTCTCCAGTCACCTCTCCACCCCCTTTGACACCTCTCTGAGGTTGTTTTCCTGTCCTTGGAGAGCAGCCAACACAGTTATTTCTGTGCTGGCTGAAAGCTTGTGGGACAGAGAATCACAGTTCTGCTTCTGAGCTCCAAGTTCAATGCATTGTTTCCAGCACTGCAGTACGAATCTGAAGTATCCTATAGACTCCTAGACAACATTTAGGAGCCTTGGGATCTTTTCCTTAAGCAATATACTTTGCACACAGTAAAACTTTCAAATGTTTACTAGTTTATCCTGATGAATGTTCCTTTTTTGTTAGATTTAATGAACAAAACATAGCTTAAATGAGAAGGAAAAGCATCAACAAGCTGTCTAAACTCCTTCAAGAAATTAAAATGCTTCCATTTCCTCTCAAACTGCATAATCATACCAAATAAGATCTTTTCTGTACCAGTTAAACCTAACTGAATTGGTTTGTTATGCTGAGAATGGCTTGTTGGCCATGTTAGATCTAATCTGCCTTTAGTTGGAAACTGTCTCCCTGATATGCAACTTCCCCACATCTGAGGATAATTTAAGGGAGCCTGTGTGTCTGCAAACAAGCAATGCCCTATATGAATTCTGAAATGGTAAACTATCTCTGCATCAGATTTTAGTCAGCAACAGAAAGAAAAAAAGGTTGGAGAGAGATTAAGGTCTTTCAAGGTCACACTGATACTCACCCTAAGATCATAAGGAAGCATCACTAGCATTCCACTGTGGTCCATCAAATATGACGCTTCACTGTATTCATACAGTTTTCTATTCCTAGGCAGTAGCAGAGGGGTGTGCAACTTGATAGCTCCTATTCAAAATTGTTGAAAAAGTATAAATTCCATAATACAAACAGGGGACCATTTTTGGAAGAAAGACAATTTTGGAAAACCAGATTACTTTACACAACTATCATGTGTTTCAAATAAAAGCATTTTGTATTCATGATGGGGTTGTCAGACTCTAAATAGGACAGAATGTTTGTCCTCTGTAATAGTTGCAAAGGAGTTGTTGTTAGTCGTGAAGTCGTGTCTGACCCATCGCGACCACATGGACAACATTCCTCCAGGCTTTCCTGTCCTCCACCATCCCCCGGAGTCCACTTAAGCTCACCCCAACTGCTTCAGTGACTCCATCTAACCACCTCATTCTCTGCCGTCCTCTTCTTCTTTTGCCATCTATTGTTCCCAGCATTAGACTCTTCTCCAGGGAGTCCTTCCTTCTCATTAGGTGACCAAAGTATTTGAGTTTCATCTTCAGGATCTGGCCTTCTAAAGAGCAGTCAGGGTTGATCTCCTCTAGGACTGATCAGTTTGATCGCCTTGCTGTCCAAGGGACTCACAGGAGTCTCTGCCAGCACCACAATTCAAAGGCCTCAATTCTTCGGCGCTCAGCCTTCCTTATGGTCCAACTTTCACAACCATACATTGTAACTGGGAAAACCATAGCCTTGACTATACACACTTTTGTTGGCATGCAAAGGAGGGTATTGCCTATTTAATATCAGTGTAGACTATTCCCTAGCGCTGGATAATTTCCTAGGATTATTTAACATTTTGGCAAACTTTTTAATTCCATAATTTTTAAATTTATCATCTTCCTATAAAAACTTTGGAGTGAATGATCTGATTATACCAACATTGCCTGAAATCTTGTGAAATGGTTCAGAATGGGTGGAATCCAATGTTAGTCCTACTTGGAGCAAACCAATTGAAATGGACCTTAAATCAATTTAGGTATATGGCAATCAATAAGGCAAGATTGCATATAGGCTAATTTATGCACACTTGTCACAGACCAATTGCCAATTGTTTATGCAAAAGTCCCCCAAAAGGTGGGGAAGTGTCAAAAGTAGGTATGGCAAAGAGTTATCAGTATCTTCCACTTAGAGATGTAATCTTTTTGATTTTACATGTTGAACTGAGACTTTTCAGTGTCCTCTATCTTTTGAACACTTCCCCAAGTCTCCAGGTACTTCAGAATGTGAAGTTACTCAGTTCCCCAAACTTTCTTGGGTCATTATTGGAGCACTTACTACTCTGGTTACTGCAATTCCCCGACAGTTCTAAAAACAAAAGAAAAACCCTGATGAGGCATAGCTTATTGGCAGGGTGGCTTCGGGTGTCATGTAAATCTGCCCACTGTCTTCACTTGCCATTTTAATGAGTTATCAGCAAGGAGTTGATCTTCACTAGGTGATTGTAGGACTGTAAAATCACTCTTCTTTGGGGAACTGTCACATCCACAGAGATCACAACGGACAACTGTTCCAAACTGCATTTTGAACAGTGAAAAAGCTATTCAACTGATTTATTCATTTTGTTGTTACTGTTACTATTATTAATCCTGCCTCATAGCCCATTTAAAATATATAAATAACAATACAATAATCAAAATGAAATAAGTGAAAACAGTAACACCAGTATAACAAAAAGTCAACAACCTACAGAAGTTAAAATAAAATTAGTGCACAGCATAGCAGCAGATATAATAAAAACACAATAAAAGAGAACTTATCTATTGAAATATTTGGATAATTAAAAAGGTCTTTACCTGGTGCCAAAAAGAAAATAAGGATGGCACCAGGTACACTTCCTTGGGGAGCATGTTCCAAAGATGGATTGACAGGAGGCAAAGTTCATCAGTCCCCCTATATTCCTTCAAGCACCCTTTAGTTAGCAAAGTGATAGACATTATGTGAGAATGGAAGTGAAAACAAATTTACAAATTGTATAAATAGACATACCATGTCTTTTAAAGATTCGGCTAACTGTCTCACATACATGCTGTTGAATCTTGGCTGCCCGAACTGAAAAGTTACCCTAAAAAATCAATAATGAAGATGAAACATAAGCAGTACATACATACTAGTCAGCACAGAAAACATTTAGAACCCAAGCACTAAGTATTTTAGTCCACTTTTTTATGTGAATATTTTCAATGAGATAAGTTTGTTCTATGGTCATTTTTAATACTATTTATAGCCTAACTCTTACAGTATTCTTGGTAATATGACATTTTGTTTCAGAAATTAAAAAATCCACAACAGCCTAAGAATCAAGATGTTATAAATCTTAGGACATAAAGGGCAGTTGTACTGCAGTAGTCAAAATACTCAGTATTTGCTAAAAAAAAGCTCCTAAAAATATTTCCTCTCATTCAACAGTGTTAAAAATAGTGCTTTTCACAGTTCTAATTAAGTACTAAGGTACCAAATTTGGAAAATGAAAAGTTCAACAGTGTTTTCTTGCTGATAAGGTAAGGAGTTGCACTGAACAGTATTTCATATAGTGGTGTTCACAACACAAAATGTTTTCTTGTACATGAAAGATGAGGTTCCAAAGCCTCATTACACTCAATGAACTCTGGTTGCAGATTGTAGCCTGCATCCTGAGGTGTCTTTAGCACACCACATGCCCATTCTGTATTGTAATTAACAGATGAGTAGTCCTACAAACTTGTTCTTGGTCCACAATGTCACAAAGTGTCCGGTCTAAAATGTTCTCAGCTTTCCACCTCCCAGCTTTTACATTTTTAAAAACTTAAAAAAAAATCCTGGTATGACCAAGTCACCTTACACACTCTATAGTTAAGATTCTAAGCTAAAACCTCAAACAAACAGAATGAAAATCCTCTGAGGGAAAGCAGTGCTATTTTTAAACGTTAGTAGGTCAAATCATTGTTATGCAGAGAAAAATCAATGAGTCTGCTACGATTATGCAGATCTTCTCAGTTTGTATAGCCTCAGGAAAAATCAAACCATGTATTACCTGTGCTTGCTGAAAGCCAGTCTTATGCTTAAGGGAAAATTTCACCCAAAACAAAGGTTTTTAGGTGTTTGTATTTTTATAGCCATGGGTAATTTCTCCTGGGTTATAAAATCACCCTAGAAGTAACATATTTTGTGCTATTAATGCAGGATTAGGGAATCCAAGCCATCAGTCTAGTTTGGACAGCATGGCTACCCAGGTTTTAAACAAACTTTGGGCAGCTATGAGCAAATGTAAGAGATAAAGCAGGCTGGCACCCACCCAGCTCTGCTACTTTGAACAACCTTGACCCCAGGCTGTTTATTGGAATGTCTGAATCCAAAATCTAAAAGTCTGGGGGAATAACAATCCAGACTTGTAACCCAAGAACTTTGGACTGTTTTTCCCTCAAGAATCTCCAGGGTATGGGTATGATAAACCATCTGGGACGAGCATCCCTAGATAGTTTAGTATAGCAGGAGCAAGTGAGACTCAGCACACTTGGTTCCTCCTGCTTCATTATTGATTAAGGGCTTTTTGCAGCCTGTGAACTGGATCACACACTCCTTTCTGCTGAGCCAGGATGCTGGTCTGCTTAATAAGAAATGTCCATCTTATGTGCAATTGTCACTGGTGTGTGGAACATTTATGATCAAGAGCAGGAAATGTATTCATACATATTAACCTCTAGAGTCAGCACAGATATATTTGCAAGTCCCTTCATACACAACCAAACAAAAAAAGTCAGAGTTGGATCCCTGTAATATCCAGTGCTGTTCGCATAAACTAAACTGCAATATAGATGAGCCCTGAATTATTAGATGAGATGTCTAAATATGGCGTTCCAACATAAGAATTCATGGCCCAATGGCAGCTATGGCAGTTGCTTGTTTTAAAACAAACCTTGAGGATATCACTGTCATAGGTGTAATCTATTGCAGGAGAGATGCGTTGTGAGAATATCTGACCCATCATTGTCCGGTAAGCTTTTCCATCCACATTGGCTAAAGTATGATGAAGTACTTCATGAAGTTCAGACTCCTCCATCTGAGGAGGTGGCATATGTTCACTTTTTAAAAGCTCCATAGCAGTTGGTCGCTTCGAAGGATCATGATTCAACAGCCAGGTGATAACTAATTTCTAAAAAATCAGACAAAATGCATAGTCCATGAATGAAAGGTATTTACCTGCAATCATTTTTCTCTTGTTAGTCCCAGGACTTCCTGATAATACTTTCAGCATAAAGGGTTCTATCCAGGGGTGGCCTTGGGCTAGCAGAAACAGCTTATGTTCTTACAAAGCAAGACACCAAACTTGTGTCCATCTTTTCAGCTTTTTGTCTACTGCAGTGTTTTCTCTTCTCAAGGGTTCTCCTAGCCCTCAGGGCTAAACTTTAGGGGTTTGTGGAGGGCTGCAGTGGGTAGGCTCTAGTGAAACGTGTGTATTCCACTTTGCATGAGAGCTAGTGTCTTCTACTAATGCAAAGCCATCATTAGATGCAACCCAAAGTTATTTACAGCTTTTATTCTCCTGCTAACATCAATCTACTGGTGGTGGCATAAGACCCAAAAGTACAGGATAAATTAATCTTTCAGAACGAAGCTAATGAGCTCTGCAGGCTGTAAAATACTCAATATTCCTTGAAAAATATACTTCAGTGTAATTTATTACATTCCCTTTGTGAATGTTCTTTTCCTTTGTTTCAAGTGTCATAGCATAACAACTTGGGCATGTTATTAGTTTGAAACAAAGATGGGGAAAATAATGATTATATATTTTTAGCACAAAATACAGCAATTACCAAAAAAGAAAAAGTATGAATACCTGCTTTGCATTTTTCATTTCATCGAAGTCTTTTGGAAATTCAATAGAAGGCTGAGAGATAAAGTAGATTAAAAACAGTTATGGACAAAGTAACAAAGGATATGCATACCAAAAGCCAGAATGTTTTTGGCATTCATAACTGTAATTTAGAGATTGCCTGTACTTTGGTTAAATTCCCAGCTGTAAGTCCAGTTTTCAAAACCAAGTTTTCATCATTTGCAAAGTAGTAACACTAACAATTGTTCTACTTAGCAGTAGAGATTCTGTGGTTCTCTGAAGCATTCCACAGTCAATGTAGACTTCACATTTGCAGAGACAGACTGATTATGCTTTGTACTAGGTGCATGCCAAAGTCTACTCACATGCCTACTACACCACTACAAAAACTTTCCCGACTTTCTTAACTAAAAGTAGAAGTGAGGCATAGGGCAAAGTTCTCTTCATGCTTTTTACTGGGTAGGAGATAGGTTCTCTATTGTCACCATTAATATTTATACCAGAATTTATTTTTCAGAATTTATCTGATACACTGCAACAAAAAATTGTATCTATGCTTTCAAGACTTTGCATTGCTGTCTGGGAGTGCGCATCAGTAAAAGCTTATAAACTCTTGGAAAAGGTCACTAGGAAGATCCAGCATAGATTTATTAGACAGAACAGTACGTATTTTTAGTGCTTGAGCTAAAGTTTTACAAGCTCCACAAAATAAGCAACAGATCTTGCCTTTAGGGGATTATGAAATGTTTGGCCTGTTACCAAATTGTGCCTGACAGACAGCTTGTCATGAAGCTTTTATACATACATGCCGTAACTGACTGAGAACAACGATCCTTTCCGATGCAGTAGTTAATGGATGGTAGGACATCTCAAAGAACATTATACCCAAACTGTAGAGGTCCACTTTCTAGAATAAAAACATTGAAGGTCTAAGTGCAGTTACAAGGCACAGAAAAGCTCTAATGCTGCTCATTCCCCTAACTTTCCAAATCTGATCGGGACATACACAGTGAGTCCCTAAAGTCCCACAGGTCAACAGCTCATTCTTAATATAGTTGTTTTACTGAAGATTCATTAAAAAGCATTCTCATGATTGCAAGCATAATCTTAGGGCATTTGCAGCAGCAGTTAATTCACATTTTGCAGTAGTTGCTGCTATTGTATTTTTCTATATTCTTATGTCAGTGCCTAATGCAGACTCGAGTGGTGGGATACAGAGATCCACATATGCAAGAGGAAGACATATACACAAGTTCAAGGAAGTATCTCACCAAACCCCTTTTCGTGTTCAAGTTCCTGCACCAAAGATCACCTTGGGGGGCTTTTCATGAGGGAGCAGCACAGATATTTCAGTGGAGAAAGTTAATGACAGAGCCACTTCATGCACAAACAAAACTGCCTTCCACTGGTGCACTGGATCCAAAAAGCTCCATGTATCCTTGCCCCACACCCCGTTTTGTTCCAGTGTGCATGGAGCAATTTCCCCAACAGAACAATACTGTTCTTAAGATACATTTACCTGATTATAGGTAGATTTCGTATTTCCTTGCACTTCTGGACTCACATAAAGAGCAGTGCCAACCATTCCTGTTAAGCTACCTGTTAAGGACATTTAGTTTTCAATAATTTCATAGAAGCCTCATAACAGTAAACAGAAAAAATTATGAATTTAAACCATTTCTTTAAAATTGAAAAGTCTTAATTTTTAAAAAGTATGTGCCTAGCTGGTGATATTGGTCAAAATATTTGGAAAACCACACCTCCTTTATAACCTCCTGAGCAAAGCAGCTAAGATTGACTTTATCTACAGTGGTACACTAGATGTAATTACATATTCCTTCTGAATGTATATATCCACTTTTTAATATTATTTCTACTACAGCTCTTCATACTCTAGTCTCTTAGCATGGACTTCCCAGCCTTTGATGCAGCTATTAATTAATTTCTCTCTTATAAGGTTGATCTGATCACCAATTACATCTTCTTAGAAGAAACACCATGAAAAATGCCAACCACATCTTTTGATGAAGCAACAGTACAGCTTCCCTGTCAAGTTGAAATAATGAAAGCCAGCATTATGCTCAAAATATTAAGGATCTATCTGTGAGGGACAACTGCTCAGACACAACTAAGTCTGGAGGCAGAATGCATACAGAACTAGCTTTGGGCTTAAGGAAGACAGGTTCCTGCAATAAGAAGTCCCTGGAAAGATACTGAATTGGGTAATGGTTAAAAAACACTGGAATTGCCCAGGCAACTTGCAACACAGTACACTAGACAGAAAGTAGGTGTGCTGGATATGTAGAGACAAGTCAGAGATGGACTTGGGCTGGACTAACTAGACGATACAGCAGCTGGAGAAGCCCTGTTGAAAGAGATGATTAGAGCAAGGTACTGGAGGACACCCTTCCCCAATATGGCACCCTCTGGATGTTTCAGGCTAAGACCTCCCAGAATTCCTGATCATTAGTCATGCTGCCTGGGGTAGGTGAGAGTTCACGTCCAAAACATCTGGAGACCATCAGGCTGCTGTAGGAACTCCTGCTCTGAGGATAAAGTGGCTGAAGTAAATGTTAATGATAAATCCAGAGCAAAAGCAGAAATCAGAGAAAGCATGTGAAGTCCAAATCCTTAGAGGAAGTCAATGGATTTACTGGGGTTCAGCATCCAGGAAGTGCTATCCAGAAGGAGCAATACTTTGGTATCAGACAAGGAAGCAACAAGCATCAAGGGATCACAGTGGAAAAGCCTGAAGTCAACACCAAGGCAGACAGGTGGAAAATTAGCTTTAGAACAGGTGTGTGAAGAAGATGACATTTCCAAATGTTTTTTTACTTCAATTTCCAGCATTCCTAGACATGCTGGCAGGGAGGTAAAGTCCCAAACACCTCAAAATTTCATCTTATACTGATCTCCGGTTTAAAATACTACAGCACAGCAAGGATGAGCACAGATAGAAGTCTCAGTAGGCCCAAAGCACATGATGCCTAGATGCAGCTAGCAACTAACTCCTTTTTCTTTTAATCTGGTATAAATGCAGGGGAGATGTCAGGTTGGAAAAGATTGCTTTTGTGGATTATTTGGATACAGAAATTGCAGCAATTAAGTGAGGGGAAGTTGTGCTTACTCTAGTCTATACTAAAAAAAGGGTAAAAGGCATAGCTGCTAGCTACAGGTTTAAACTAGCATATGCTTTGGATCATAGTGTTCCAGATTTCAATGTAACTGGTAGTGATGAGTTTGAATTACATCAAGGTCTACCCAACCTCAGACTACTTAAAAGTTGAGCCTGGTAAGCACTCAGTGGCAATCCAAACATGATCCTGCAATCTGAAGAGCATTAGTTAATTGCAAGAATGACTCTTGATCAGGTAGAATAAACACTTTGCTTTATACCTACCTGAAGGATCACTTTTAGCCAAACAATCATCTGAAATTCCTCCTCGTTTAGTGTCTGTCTGAAAAAGCAATGAAAATAAACCTGACTATATGCAAAACTATATGCTGCTCTTTAATGGATCTTTAATTAAGAGTGTTTTGTTCTACAATGTATCTGTGCAACAGATGTCCTCTTAATTCCGAACTTCACTCAGACATGAAATGCAGAGTTATTTTGGGCTTATAACCTCTCAGTGTAACCTACTTCACAGGGTTTTTATAAGGATAAGAAGTAGGTTTGAAGAAACCATGCACTTAGCTAGGAACTCCTTGAAGGAAGAACAGGATAAAGCTGAAATAAAAACTGCTGAACTCTTAAAGTATGGCATCGTAACAGTTATTAACTCTTCTATGCACATGATGGTTTTCCATAATGTTCACAGAAGGTAACACTAAAACATCATCCACTCTATGTAGCAGTGGCATTTTCAAGATCACCTAAAGTATATATTTTAGGGTTCAACTTTTCCTCAACATTACTTACTGCATATGCTGGGTGATCCGTGGCCAAACCAAAGTCACCAATTTTTACATGATCTCCAGAATCTAAAAAAATGTTTACAGGTTTCAGATCTCGATGAATCATCCCCTTTTAAGGAAACAAAACAAAAGGTTAATATGAGAGAATTAGCAGATACAAGGATCACACCTCTGGATATGGTTTTGGCTTAGAACATATGAGACTGTATCCTGGTTTTTTTAGACTGCTTCTTTAGATCTCTTCTCCAAAGAGTGGTCCAGTGTGGGTGGAAGCATAGCTGGTTAGGATAAAGGGGAGTGAATTTTCTATGGCTGAGATTGCCTGTGGAACTCCCTGCCATGAGAAGTTCATTATGACTCTCTCCAGGCTTTGTTAGATAATTAAGGTAGGCTGTTGGTCTCCAGGCTTAGAGCTCTCAGTGGTGTACTGTCCTGTGCAATATATTTCAATCTGCAGGACTTGGCTCCAACTTCGAAGTGGTTAGTTACAGAATCTGATGTTTCTAATTTCTTTACCACTTTAACTTTTGTAATATGTCCTGAGCATTGCTATTACAACAGAAAAGCAAGATATAAACACATTATTTTGATAAGGAACATAGGACTAGTTAAATGTAGAGTTCAAATATATGTCCAAAAACTCAATTCAATATTACTACAGTAACATGAGCACAGTAGTCCAAGTGGAGAACTTTTTCCTCTTGTCCTTTCTTGTCCGTCAGTACCAAACAGCCAGAATGCAGATAAGCCACGCTATGCCGGAGGCTATTCCCAATGATCCCAAAAGCTTTGGGAATGCTTTTGTTGACAATACAACAGGCAAAAATCAGAAGGACCTCTGAAGCTCCACTGTGCATGCAAACCTTCCCAGTGTTGGCTGCTGGCCACTATTTAGAACAGGGCTGCTTTGGAGCACCAAGCGAACATACAGTCTTGGAGCCAAATGCTCCTTTTTGCAAACAGAAAGGCTCTTCCAGCCATGGAAAGCTTTTGATCCAGAGGAGGGCTCCAACTGGAGAAAGGTAGGGAGGAGACTGCTGCTGATTCCCTCCTTGCTCTACAGAAGATTTTCAGAAGATACAGAAGACATAGGCAAGTAGGCAAAATCAGCATAGGTTGCCTCGCTTTCTGTTGGTGAGAGCAAAGTCTGAATCCAAGCCAATGGTTATTAAACAAGGGACTGCAACTCTAAAATCTTCAGAGGTACATGAAAATAGAGACAATTTCATTAGAAGCTTATCCTAATAATATGCTTAAATTAATAACTGTGGCTAGCAGAACTTACCACAGTAATATTATATAATAGCTAACTGTTCCTTTTAGCTTTTTAAAAAACTAACTATAGCTCAAACTTTTCCAACCATACTCAATATATGAAGAACTGAATCTGAAATGTCAGTTTGCAAATCTTGATCTTCAAGTTCTGAAAGTTGGAGGATAAAGTACCAACTAGATACTGGTGCCAGTTTTTTCACATGATAGTCTGTTTCTTAATAGTGTACACATAATTTCTGGCCAACAACCAGTTTCTTTCAAATGGCATAGAAGACTGACAAATACAATACAAGCAAGAGCAGTATAACAAGTTGCATGCTACTAACCCTAACCCTAAATATACCTGCCATTGCTTATATTTCTAGTAATTTCTAATTTTAAACAAATTGCATTTAAAAATACACATTGACTTGAACTCTCTGAATGGATGAGGAACCTCCGAAACTGCAGCATTCTTGAGACTTGGTAGTTGTGATCATGATCCATGGGAGGGATACTACTAACAGTCCAACGAAACAGAATGCAAGTATAATAAATGTATTTTAAAGGGCATATTGCGTCAATATAAAGTAAGGAAGGGCAGCAGTAACAACAGGCTGAATCCAGATTAAAGTTTCAATTTCATGCACATTTTCCAGGAATAGATCCCATTGAATTCAGTGAAACCTACTGTTGAAAACACATCTAGATATGATAATAAATGAAAAATATATGCTGATTAAATAAGGTATTGCTCTAAACAATATGAGGCCTGGTAATGTGAACCAGTATGGTGATATGTAGTAGGACTAGTAGTAGAAAGATGTAGGTTCAAACCATGGTTCAAACCATCACTTAGCCATGAAGCTCACTGGGTCAGTCACCTTCTTTCAGCTTACACTACCTTAATCCCTGCAATTTGTTACTCATACAAAAATACCTGGAAACCACCTATGAAGCTGTGAGGTCCTGAGATGAAGGGCAGCGTTTAGTAGATAAACAAATATAACAAATACATCCTGACAAAGCTAATGAAATATGAGTGATTTTAATTAAATGTGCTTGGCATGAGCATCACTAACCTTTTCATGGATATAGGCTAAGCCATCCAAAATTTCCCGGAAAAGCCTCCAAAGGCGGCTGGTATCTTCATAAAGGCCTTGGTCAATGGTATCTCGTAAGGTGCTTCTTTCACAATATTCCATCTTTGAATGCAGCACAAAGAAACACAGTTGCAAAAGAGGAAATTGCACCCTCCTAATGGTTATGCTTCATTCTGGACACACAGTGCTATCATCACTGTATGTAACAATTACTGTTCTGCTTTGTAGACTACCCTTTTCTTCAGTGCAGAAGTATAGTATAGGGGTGGTATAGAAATGAAATAAATAATATTAATAATTAGTATGTGGGATTTTAATATTTGTTATGAACAGGATATATTGTGCAAACTGAACATATTATTAGGCAGTAAGCTTTTGAGATGGGGCAAGACAGATCTCTCTATCCAGTTTCTTGTTGTATTTTATGGACTCTTTTATTGTATTACTAATTTTCATGTAATATACACCACCCAGACTGCCCAAAATTGGGCATACATTGTGGTATATAAATTTAAAAATGAATGAATGAATGCTTTTGAAATTCATTCAAAGTAAGTGAGGTATGTAACACACTTTTAAAAAGCACCTGGATTCATCCATACTCACATTATAGAGAACACAGTGGGATATGCTCTGAAGCCATACATTTTATGCCTGATAAAGATAATAAGGATTTCACCAGTAACCTTACCCTGCAAGCTCCTAACTTTGAATGCTGAACTTTCTGACCAAGAAAAAAGATTATTCACATATGTAATTATGCATAAGCAGCTCCCTCTAGTTAGTCCAACAAATTCTAACCTGAATGTACAGATGGTGCACAGTCTGAATCATCGACATTCCATCCTCTTCACTAGGACTGTCCTTTTCCTTGCCGTCTTCATCCTGTGTCACAGAAACATATAAATGCAAATATAGGATGCAAACAAAGGTCTCCAAATACAAATACAAACCCAGATTCAGATACCAACCCCATTATGCAGCCTTTCTCAACCTTTTTACATTGGTGGAATTCTTGAAATAATTTTCATGTCTTAGGAAGTCCCTGCATAAAAATCGTAGCAATGTGCTATTTATTTCAATTTTGCTGCACTTGTTTCCAATTAATTTAAACATTATTTAGTATTATGCTATTAAGATTATTGATACAATCAAATAACTTGTATGTTTGTATTATAAACACACACGTGAGATTGTGAAAGTATGATGTTTAATTTTACAATCTCTAGTGAAAGCCCCAGTCACCAATCAAGACCTTTCAGGGAACCCCAGCTGAGAAAGGCTGCTTTAATCTGACAAAATACTTTAATCATCAACAGGTTTAGTATGTTTGCTCATTAAAGCCAGAAAGCATAGCTTGCTTTAGTGGCTAGGAAGTTGGAGTTATGGGTTCTAGTGCCCATGCTGCCATGAGCCCACTGGGTAACTTTGAGCCAGTCACTGATATTTAGTTTAGCCTACCACACAGGGTTCTTACAAGGATTACCAGAAAAGATGATTGTGTACCTTGAAGAAAAGGAGGGATGTAAATGTAGTAAGTTAAAATTATATGACTAGTCAACTGACCAACATGCCAATCCTAGGATTGCTGGAATGAGGCAGCAGCCGTATTAACTGTCTCTCTTTACATCTGGTTTCTCCTGTGATTTGCAGCTTATAAGGTAAGTGTAGGCAAAGAAAGATGATAAATGTTGCATTGGCCACTTTACAATAATAGTTGTACCACATGAACTGTATCAATACCTCCAACATAAGTTTTATTACAGGAAAATGTAATATATAGTTTTATATTTACCACCACAGCATTTTTACTGTTGTCTTCTTCATGATCAAAAATTATATCACTTTCAGAGTCTGCTGCTGGCCTAAAGCAACAATGAAAAATGGAAAAATCAAAGTCTGAAAACAATGCTTTCCAAACTATGTTCTACAAACATAGATGCTTACTGGATGTTTTACAAGGTAGCATTACATAATAACATGTTGAGATTGAAGTTTTAATTGATCTTGCACAATGCTTTTTGTTTACTGATCGTGTAAACATGTATTTTCTTGTGGGTTTGTTTTAACTACATTACAAACCACTCTGGAACAGATGTTATGATGGGTGGTAACTTAATGCAAGAAAATAATCATGAAAGATAAGATGCTCAAAACACAGTTTATCTTTCATTAAAGTTGATGTCTAGCATTGAACAGGGTGGCTAGAGCCCTGAAAAAAATGAGTCATGAAATTGCAAAACTAGGCATTTCTCAGATTTTGCAATGATTTGTTTGTGTTTAACAGTAGCTGTTTGTCTCAGGAAATCACAACCCACAATTATATCAATAACATGATAGTATGGGCTTATACCTAACAAAAGGAATTATAGGTATATAGCTGAGCATGGAAAACAAAAGTAGTAGGTGAGAAAGAAAGCACAGATACATAATCATGCAATCCTAAGTATGCCAGGTCAGAAGCAAGTCCCACTGTGTTCAGTACTGGATACTCCTAGGGTAAGTCTGTACAGATATGTGACCTTAATGTTAGCTATCAAAATTCCTGAGATAGCTCATAGTGCAAAAGATTCTGTAGCTTATCCTGACATTTTTCTTCATCAAAGTCTGACCTGACGTTTGATTTACCTTGCTTGTAATATACAATATTATAAGTACCAGTAACAGAATGAATCCTACTCCATTTTGAGCTTGATAATCCTCTAGTTGAAAACATGTACATACTAGTACACTAATATACTTTTGGTCACTTCCTTGTTCTCACTAGACCACAAACCATGCACACACCCTCTTGTAGTAACAATGAACCAACTTTCCGTGCTCTGACAGGTTATTATGAGTCTCATTTCAACATTAAGAGGCATCCCATTCAATTCCATCTCTTTCAAAACCAGTTAATGCCAGTGTGTCTATTAGCAGTGGCAATATCAAGTTATGGTTTGTGAGCCGCCCCGAGGCTTATTTATAAGTCCCATGAATGAATGAATGAATGAATGAATGAATGAGAGAGAGAGAGAGAGAGAGAGAGAGAGAGAGAGAGAGAGAGAGAGAGAGAGAAAGTTGCATGATATTTCAATGCCTGACTTGCAAGCATAGACACATCCAGATCAAAGATCTCAGACAATTTCTGCATCACCTCATACACAATTGTTTACAATGCAGGAATCAGAATTCAGCTGCAGTAAAGTCCAGCACACCTAGAGGGTGCAAGGTTGTGTTGCACATGCCTGGCTTAATTAACCTTAAGAAGACTTCTGATGAGTTTCAAATATTAGCAGGTGTATGGTAACAGAACAAAAGAAGAAAATCAATACCTAAAACCTACCCTGGCTTGGATCAAGAGTTATAGTGAACCAAACTTTGCTCCAAGGAAGTGGGAAAAGGAAACTGCAGATGCTTTCTCCCAGTTCCTGTAAATTTTATCCCAGTTCATAATGTTTTGAGGATCCTCAACAACAATCTAAAAAGTGGTGTGGATAGGATAGGGTGGAAGCTGCAGAGGGAATAAGCTAAAATCATTGCTGACCCTGTCCTTTTATCAGTAGAAGCCTCCACTAGACTGCAGCCCCTTCCACAAATAAGAGAATCTTGACATGAATGGGAGGGCAACTCAAAATCTAATCTATTGACAATAAATGTTCTGGGATGGAAAGGGTAATACCCCATGTCCCCTACTCACAAGAATGACTGTGAAAATACTCCTCCGCCATCATCGTCGTCATCATCATCGCTGGATTCTTGATCAGCTGCACTGAACCTGGCACTTGATGATCTCTCACATGAAGTGCTCCACTCCACTGAACTGGTCAGAACGGGAGGAGGGGCATTTGCTTCTATGTCATCCATGGATTCCTCTTCAGTTTTCCCATTCAGAGCCAGTTTCTCAGATGCTTTTTTCTCTTCGGTGGTTTCTGATGCCAGATCATTACGCAAAGGCCTTTCATGTTTCTCTATCCATGCATTGTAATACCGTACAATGTTCTCATGGTTCAGACGTGACAGCAACGTCACTTCCCCTTTAATTCTTCGAAACTGCTTGCTTGAGGGATTTATGTGAATGCGCTTTACTGCATAGCAGCAGCCATCCAGCTTGTTCTGGACCTGATCATTGAAAATATGACATGATCAATGTTTCAATCAAAATCTCACAGCTCTGTTCCTTCTGGGCAGTACATCCAGTCTCACCCAAAAAAGTTCTGCTGAGCAATGCTATATTATTTATCATGCGCGCACTTACTGTTTTGCTATAAACTACTATATAGAATGATCATTTACATTACTGTTTACACATGATAATCACAGGAAGATCACAGATCAAAATGTTTTTCGTACCTTAATGACTGCTCCAAAGGCTCCTTTACCAAGTAGTTGTAACTCTTCAAACTCAGTGTAATAACGGGAAAATTGCCTCTGTGTCTCCGTGAAGAATATATCACTTGCAAGCTGACTACTAGGAATAACAGTTTCAAGATCATCTATTCCTGCTGAATCTGAAACGGAAAAAAAAAATAATGAGGGACACACCTATCGGCTGAAAGCTTTTTGCTCATACAGGCATTTAAATATTGTGCGTGCGCACACACACACACATCTATATACATTAGCTGGATGAAACAGTTACAATGGTTGTGTTGATGTTTAGGTTTATGCTTTATACATCTTATCAAATGTATTATTGCTGTGCATACCATCTTGAAATTCTTTTTTTTATGAAGGTACCACTATATATTGTCCTGCTAGTTCAATACAATGGCTTTACACTTTGGCTTTCTTCAGTACCCAAAGTATATGAACATTTTTGGGAAAAGGATTAAAACTTAGTTGACTTTTAAGATTAACAATTAAAACTTTTTTGAAAGAGCTTGAACTTTCATAGGTTTCAACTTCCTTACATGTTAAAGTGGGACAGTGGGTGATATTCTGCAGCTATTTGTTGTCATTCAATGGATATATTTTCACTTTTATTTTTGAATACAACTGAATTCATCTTAGGACTTCACTTTCTGCCTTTGTGAATATTTTAAGGCTGCCATGATGGGAGGCTATGGGTGTGGGCTCAGGCATGTTTGCAAATAGTTAAGAGATAAATACCCATTAAATTAATATGTTCCATGCTAGGAAATAGTCTTTGCAGGAGATATGTGAAATAAAAATTATCCTCTGATGTTATACAGGCAAGTATGTTATTATATAACTTTACTTGTTATAATTTGTTATTGTTAGAAATTACAGTCTTGTATAGTTCTCTCAAAGAAAATGTTCAGATTAAAAAATAAGCATATATCAAAAGCTAGAACAACTTCAAACAATGGTCTTATAATACTGAGAAGCATTTTATAGTAATGTATTAGATCTGTTGATTAATACTTAAGCAGTATCCAAGCTATCTGAATACACTTTGCTTTTACATACACAATTATGTGTTGATTCTCCATAACTAATATACTAACATTTTAGAAACTGTTGAATTATTTACCATATGGGCTCTCTTCTATTACAGGTATTTTCAATTGCGGTGGGTTTAGAAAATCATGGTGTAACAACTGTTGAGGGCTCCATCGTTCTTTATCTTCCAGGCAAACACACCTGAACAGAACCAAAATAATATGAGTGTAAAATTGGTATCAGTCAACAGATCAGGTATTTCTAATGTCTGTGTTATAATTTTGCAACTAAGGCTGTACCATTAAGTAAGCTAGTATGATGTCCTCCTGGATCAACATCTGTTAGTAACGAGATATTCAGGGATAGTAGAGTTCTGGAGAAATCAAAATTAGCGTAATCCCCCCATAATGTGTCAGTTTATTCAGATAATGACCATATCACATTTAGCACCTTAAAATCACAACAGTGTACCACACAGTAAATGTTTAGCATAGGAACAGGCAATGCTGAACAGATTCCCCCCTTTCTTCTGCATACCACTGAAAATCTGATGGACAGCTCTGGGGAACCCCCTAGAATAGAGTGAGGAAATGGGGGCCTAGCAGAAGAAGTGGATGACCTCTTATGCAAATGGAAGTCTGCTCAAATGACAGTGGATGTTGCCCACAATACACAATGACCAATATGACTTCACAGCAGAAATGCAGAAGCTCTTTGAGCCTGAGAGCCAAATTCTCAGGGGTCATATTCCAATGGCATGTGGGGATGAAACAAAAAGGAGCCAAGCCAAAAATGTGAAATATAATAGTATATTTGAGTTTAAAGTTCTTAGTGCCAGTTACTAAGCTTCAAGAAAGACAAAAACCTGCACAGAAACCAAGAAGCTACCAATTGAACAGTGGTCAGAAGAAGAGTAAGTGGGCATAGCCCTCTGTGGAATCTGTGAGAGCAAGACTGGAATCCTTGGAAGACCAAATGTGGCCCCTATGTCTGAGGTTCTGGGCCCAGCTTAACAGTCCTGTATTGGTTAAAAATTTCAACCAATAATCCTCTGTGAGCCTATTTACTAAGATGTTGTTTAGGTAAAAAGCCTCACAGAAAATAAGTGCACACTGAAGTACTCAAAGCTTATTTCCAAAATAATTTGGAAGCAGGAAGGATCAAGCAGAGACTTGGACAGGACAATAAAGGATGGATAAGAAGATCCTTTTTATGGTTCCAATCTGAATTATTTTCATGCCTACAAGCAGAAAGTATGAAAGGAAGTGAAATACTCTTTGAAGTATTCAATAGTCCTCTCATTGCTAAATAAGAAGCTCGTCTCTTTGGCCATCTTGAATTAATATGGTAAAACATTTGAAGTTTTTCTGGATGCACAGACTCAACCAGGACACATAAACAGTTTCCTTGGCTTGTAATCCTTGAGAGTTCATTGATGTTAAAATGACTATGAACACCACTGCTGGAATCCCCATCTTAATTAAACATAAATCATAGGCATGTGGGTTATTTATTTGTAATTTTATGAGGTAGAAAATGAGAAATGTACATACTTTTTCAAAAAGTCTTGAAAATCAGCAGCCAAATCGCTTGGAATTGTGACTGGATATTCCTTAGTGATATGCCCCTGGCTGAGAGCCAACAGCAACAAGCCCAAGCACCATACATCGCCTTTCTTCCCTGGTTTGTTTGGCAAAGCATCATTGCTAAATCGAACCCTGGTTTGCTCAAATACATCCTCTTTACAGATATCTGCCAAGCGTTTGGAAATACTGTAGTCTGTCACCTTGATATTTCCTTCAGTATCCACCAGAATGCTGGAAGCACTCAAAACCTTGTGAACCACTGAATTACTATGCAAGTATTCAAGGGCTGATAAAAGCTGGGTTGTGTAATGACGCAGCTGATCCACAGGAAGAGGAATCTCTTTATCCAAATACATGGAGAGGCTGGATCCACTAATGTGCTCCACCAAAATGTCTACTACGATCGAATCACTGTGCTCTTTAAAGTTCATAGATAGGTAACGGACTATGTTGGGATGATTTAACTTCACGAGAGAGCTGAATTCAGTTTCTGCTCCCTGAATCTGTTCAAAACAAACAGGAATAGTGAATTTTTCCCAAGTTAACAATTTAGTTATCACCTCTCATTAAAAGGGCCTTCCATATCAGACACTGTACAAGTTCATGTAGAGTCAGTAAAGGAAGATGAAAATAGGACACAGGTTGCTCACTTATAAACAAACCCAACACTCTGCAAAATGCTTCACTAGGATCTGGATGGTGGGATAGAAGGTGACAGAATTTTGGTCATGGCCATGTGATGGCTGTAAGACATATGGCATTAAACCTAAAGTTTAATAGGTGGAACTTTAATTTAAGTTCCACCTATTAAATACTGAAAACCCAACCTTCTTCTCCAAGTTTCTTAGCAAACGCTTGCTACAGAACCTACTAGCTTCTTCCTTACTATTATACCAAAGCTATCCAGAGAAGTTTCTAGATTTATTGTTTAAATCTCAATCAGTTTATCACTATTTTCATATAGCACATTTCTGATGCCTAGTGCTCCAAGACTGTTCTAGTATTCATGTTTCAAGAGCGCCTATCCTCTACCACATGAATGTAAGGTTAAACATAATGCACATGAAAGTGCTGTTACCTGTTTTTTGCATTTCTCAACTTTTTCCTTTTCCTGACTTGTGAGAAATTTTCCCATTTTCTTTTGCCACTTAAGTACCCATTCATGCACAAAGACAAAGTTGCCAGTGCACAGCTCCAAAGCATTGTAGACTGATTTACCAAGCTGTTCATCTTTTTCTATAAACAGAAATATGGATAAAGGTATTGATGAATAGTTTTATAATTCCAAGACCATTACAAAAATTAATTTGTTCCAAGTTTTCATCAACATGTCTTTTCAGCATCAATTTGCTTAATACACACACATGGGAGTGAGTGTTCACCAACAATATTTCCAACAACATTTTCAGTGGTAGACTAAAAATGCTGGGTAAGCAGTGTAAAAATACCTTGTATGGAAGGTTACTTAATAAAATCTTAATGTTCTTAATGTTCACAGTCCAAATAAAGGGCTGCCAGTTGAAGTTTGAGGCAGATTCAAAGTGCCGGTTGTTGTTGATAGTCGCGAAGTCGTGTCTGACCCATCACAACCCCATGGACAACATTCCTCCAGGCTTTCCTGTCCTCCACCATCTCGGAGTCCACTTAAGCTCATACCAACTGCTTCAGTGACTCCATCTAACCACCTCATTCTCTGCCGTCCGCTTCTTCTTTTGCCATCTACTGTTCCCAGCATTAGACTCTTCTCCAGGGAGTCCTTCCTTCTCATTAGGTGGCCAAAGTATTTGAGTTTCATCTTCAGTATCTGGCCTTCTAAAGAGCAGTCCAAGTTGATCTCCTCTAGGACTGACCGGTTTGATCACCTTGCTGTCCAAGGGACTCACAGGAGTCTCTGCCAGCACCACAATTCAAAGGCCTCAATTCTTCGGTGCTCAGCCTTCCTTATGGTCCAACTTTCACAGCCATATATTGTAACTGGGAAAACCATAGCCTTGACTATACGCACTTCTGTTGGCAGGGTGTCTCTGCTTTTTAGTATGCTGCCTAGATTTGCCATAGCTTTCCTGAGTGGTCTAGTGCTGGGATATGATTTAGGTCATATCTGAGTGGCCTAGTGCTTTTCCCTACTTTCTTCAATTTAAGCCTAAATTTTGCAACAAGAAGCTCATGATCTGAGCCACAGTCAGCTCCTGGTCTAGTTTTTACTGACTCTATAGAGATTCTCCATCTTTGGCTGCAGAGCACATAGTCAATTTGATTTCTGTGTTGACAGAGAAATGTGTACACATGTCCATGTGCAGAGTCGTCTCTTGGGTTGTTGGAAAAGAGTGTTTGATATGACCATCGTATTTTCTTGACAAAATTCTACCAGTCTGTGCCCTGCTTCATTTTGTATTCCAAGGCCAAACTTGCCTCTTATTCCAGTTATCTTTTGGCTTCCTATTTTAGCATTCCAATCCCCCATGATGATAAGGACAACATTTTTTGGTGTTAATTCTAGAAGGTGTTATAGGCCTTCACAGAACCGGTCAACTTCAGCCTCTTCAGCACCAGTGGTTGGGGCATAGACTTGGACTACTGTGATGTTGAATAGTTTGCCTTGGATTCAAACTGAGATCATTCGGTCATTTTGGAGATTGTATCCCAGTACTGCTTTTCCTACTCTTTTATTGACTATGAAGGCTACTCCATTTCTTCTGAGGGATGCTTGGCCGCAGTAGTATACCTGATGGTCATCTGAATTAAATTCACCCATTCCTGTCCATTTTAGTTCACTGATTCCTAAGATGTTGATGTTCAGTCTTGTCATCTCTTGTTTGACCACATCCAGCTTGCCTTGATTCATGGATCTTACATTCCAGGTTCCAATGGAGTATAGATTTTTACAGCATTGGACTCTCCTTTCACCACCAGATACATCGGCAACTGAGTGTCCTTTCGACTTTGACCCAGTCGCTTCATTCTTTCTGGCGCTACTAGTACTAGCCCTCTGCTCTTCCCCAATAGCATATTGGACACCTTCCGACCTGAGGGGCTCATCTTCCGGTGTCATATCTTTTTGCCTTTTGGTACTGTTCATGGGGTTTTCATGGCAAAGATACTGCAGTGGGTTGCCCATTTCCTTCTCCAATGGATGTTTTGTCAGAGCTCTCTGCTATGTGCAAGATTTTAATAAATAGAAAAGTATCATGGGTGGCCCTGCACAGCACAGCTCATAGCTTCATTGAGCTACACAAGCCCCTTCGCCACGACAAGGCAATGATCCATGAAGTGCCGGTACTAACATTCAAAGCTCTAAATGGCTTGGGACCAGGTTATCTCAAGGACTGCCTCATCCTATCTGTACCTACCCAGACCCTGAGATCTGGGAGCTCCTGGGGAGCTCTTCAGGGTTCTTTTCTGGGAGACCCTTCCAAAGAAAGGGCCTTTTTGGTTGTGTCACCCCAGGTGTGGAATGAGGTGTGGAAAGAGGTATGCCTGGCACATACTTTGTATTCTTTTCAGTGCCTGGCGAAGACCTTTTTATTGTCTCAGCATTTTAACAGTTTAATATTTAACTTCATTTTTAATATTGCATTTTACTCTGTACTGCTGCTATGCTGATTCCATTCCTAGTGTGATTTTGTTGTTTTAAGTTGATTTTATCTTATATGTGTGTTTGTGTGTTTTAAATCTTTCTTAACTTTTGTTAACCACCCAGGGATCCTTGGTATAAAAATGAAATAATTAAATAAGGACTCATGTGCAAATGGTAGGAAGCTGTGTAAAATGCCACAGCTTTGTTGCCTATTATCACAAATGTTTTCCACTACTAGTTTAAAATGTGGCTTGTCTCTTTAGCATCCAGAACTGCTAAAACAGAAACATACTAGCAAAGCACTAGCTACCTCTGTGGCTCTTTTCTCTCCATACAAGGAGAATTTGTTCCTGGAATCTGTCCACTGTGTGATAAACAATAGTGATTTGCTTTCTTTGATGGTGGTAGTTGTCTTTTGTTGTCATGCCACTCCTGTTCAGCCTGTATTCCTACAGCTAAGTCTTGTGTTTTCCATTTCCTTGCCATTAGGGTTTCTTTTTTATTTAATCTTTAAACATGTTCAGTGTTCAAACTGTTCTTGTTACTATAACTAAAGAAAGCCACCATGATACTTTTCTATTTATTAAAACCTTGCACAGCTGATAGCTCAATAGCTAAGAACTATTGATGTTTTTTTCATAAAAAAATCAATAAATGTTCCAGGGTTTACATGCACTCTAAACCTCTGGATCTTGCAGAACGATTGTCACAGCCCAGCTATCCTAATTTGTTGCTAACAATGCACTGAGGACATATATTGAAGGGTGCTTAAATTAAGAAATCTCACATCTGGAAATAATAAGATACATGTAATGGTAAAATAAAGAGATGAAGGGAGTGGTACCTTCAAAATATTAAGTTATGAACTGCACATTTTAGCTTCCTCCTTATATTTCACATATAAGACCATTTTATTCCCTAGACCTTTAAAAGAAAACTTTTACTATCCTCACATTTCCATCTGTAAAAATAAACAAATGCAACAAAAGCTCTTATATATAGTAATTGTTCCACATACCTATGCACTTTCCTTTGTGTACTTTAAGCTGACCACTGCCACTCGTGTTGAAATGAAGAACTTCAGAAGATCCTGGAGAATCATCACTACTGCACATAGAATATTGCCGCTCTCTCCTGCAAAGCAAACAAACGGATTGAGTTGCTCATATATACTCAGTAAATATTTTTCAATAAACTTAAAATGCCAACCTAAGTCAGCCTTCTTTAACCTGTTTCTCTCCAGTTGTGTTGAACTACAATTCCCATCATCCTCAGTCAGTACGACTAATAGGATATTCTACACATGTTGCAATCATAATGTTAAGTTCCTGCATCCAACTGTATTTGGTTCAGTGACAATTGAAATTAATGTTTAAAGGAAATAAAACTGCCATTGTTAGTGTACAGAAGCAAAAAGAAACCTACCACTATACTCTTCTTTTTTATTAAAACTGTATAGATGATAGCTTCAATGACTTCAATGAATGAGTAGCCATCATTTTGACAGTATTTTTCTGCCTTTCAGATAGCAGTTTGCTATGCTGCATAATCTCAATAAAAGACCCATGTTTATATACATTCAAACTCACTCACTCTGTATTTTTAAAGCTGGTCCACAAGGTTATTTTTTCCTAATCCATACTTACCAGAATTTTACAACAGTTGTATGAAAAAGTACAGAAAAGTGAACAAATTGGTCCACTCATCTAGCAACTGTGAGATGGGATGTACACACATGCAACTGAATAGAACACTCCCAATCCATTCAGGGGAACAGCGATACATACTTCGAACGCCCTGTAGAATGTGCACGATGTTTATTGTTCCCCGCATGTTCTGTTGCACCTCCATTTAAACTGGCAGTGTTTTTGTTCCCTGCAGCTTCTCTACTGGTACAGATGTCCTGGTTTGTCAAGGCGGCATTTTCCAAATGTTCCTGAAAATACAGAAAGAGGTGCTGAAACTCCCTCCAGGGCATCTGAATCCACAGGCCAAGGAGGGCCCAAATGTCCACAGTTCCTCAAATGACCACACCACCTTCCTCACATGCTTCCACTTCCTTTCCAGTACCACAATTATTTTGTTGGTTTTCCAGCTTTTGTCTGGTTTGAGTCTTGCCCTATAAAGCAGAAACAAGTCTGCCAAGACGTTTTTTGCCAGCAGTAAAAACTTTAAGCTTTTTTTTCACATTTTGTTTCCTTCTAATTTTGTTTTTAGCTTGCCCCTTACTTCTCCCTGCTTGCCATTGGAAACGGAAAATTAAATTCAGACCTTGGGCTGCTGCTTTAATTAGCTCAATACATAAGGTTGGTGATGGGAAAGCAGTATGTCCTTTAAAGCATGACTCTTTTCCTTGGGTTATTACTCATGATGTCAGGACGGTCTCTGTGAAGAGCACTGGTCACGACAAACTCACTACTTGAGATAGCAGACAGCAGTACTTATACATAGGTAATTCCTTGTGCAAGTAGACTGAAAATTATCACATTAAAGTGCATAATCATACCAAGATAAAGTAAAACCAACTAATTCTACATGAAATGGGACCAAGCGAAAACTGATACGAACACTTCCTGCTAGTGAAAAAAGGGATTTGGGGAAGCAGTACAGAGAATCACAAAAGTCATAGAGTTTGATCCCAAGGCCTGCCTCTCCACTAGAGATGCATGAGGAATTTGATGTGTGTGTACATGTGTATGGGGGGTAATCTATGGATTTTCACAGTTTGCCCCCCCCCCCCCCCCCGATTTCAGTTGACCATTCTTTTGCTGACAGCAGCTCACTATGGTGCTAGCTAAGCCATTTCCAAGACAGGCTGTGATTTGTACATTTAAAAAAAGAACAGCTAAGGAAACTCGATTGCCACAAAACCTGATTGGCTTCCACAAAGCATATGCTTCTCATGTGATTTGAGAATTCATGTGCTTGTTGGAAGCTGATTTTCAGAAAATGTGCAAAATACTGTGATCTGAGATAATAGCAAAAATAGCACAATTTGCTTAGTGTTTCAAAAAATATGCAAACTGCAGCCCATCTTAGAGATGGGAGTCCATGGAAAAATCCCAACTTAGACCACTTCTAGTCATTAGATCAGAAGCAGGCAAGAAATCTACTGCATTCAAAGAGCCAGATTTCCCAGCATTGGTACATCACAACTTTCTGCAATGTAAGCCCCGCCCCCAACACATTTGCACAAAGAACCAGAATTCAGCTGAATGGAGGGCAGTAATTTCCTCCAGTTCTCCCTTTCCATTGCAGCTTCCAGTGCTGCTTTTCCTACTGTTCCCCAGTACACCTCAATAGTCTGGAACAGTACAAGGGCAATGTATGTCAGCAAGATTAGGGACCTTTAAGCATTGGATAGATCAATACAGATTCTGTGAAATCCACTGAAAATTTGGTACATATAAATTGCAAGCAAGCATCCAAAAGGAACTGGTCCTCTCCCCCCAATCCTGTACATCTTGCAATATATAACAAAGGACAGAAAGGGTTGACAAACAACTCAATTGTCAGCCACAGAAGTACTGAACATGCATACCGGCCACCAAACTTTGATTTCTGTTTGGAGGTTTTTAAACCAGATGACTAAATTGTTTAACCAAAATTTGGAGACTGCAAGCAAATCCAAGCCATTGCTACAAAACTTTAAAGCAGGGATAGGAAACCTATGGCCTGTGAGGACTCCTCATCTGAGCTGGCAACTTCTTTTGATGGCCCCACCTGGTCTGCCTGGGTGAGAACAGCTCTTTAACCTGCTCTGCTCTCTGATGGGAGAGAAGTGCTTTTCCCTGTGGAGCACTGAAAAGCAGATGGCCCACTTAGTGAAATTTCTGACTACTTTATCTGTGGCACCTCCCAGCATTTGCTGTGCGTATACCTAGGAACATCTGCAAATGGAATGTGGTTCTCAGGACAAAAAAACTGCTCTACATTAAATCTGATTGGACCCCTTCTCAGAGAAATGTATTTTTATTTTGCATACTTGTAGGCTCCAAAATGAGATGACACAATTTTTGAAGTATTTTACAGAGTTTTAATTATTAATGAAGAATTATGCACATATTTCTTATATTCTGGCATCAGAACAAAGATTTTTTAAAAATACCTGCTTTGCCATTTCTTTCCTTTTTCTTTCTTTCTTTTCTTCTTCTCTTTTCTGAATCTCATCAAGAATTTCACGTTGCTGCAATAGATACTACGCTTATCTTATTTCAGTAGAGTGAAAAGACTTTGAACTTAAAAAAACAGTTAATAAAAAAACTTAATGAAAAAAAGTTTCACCCATTGCATATGCAGACAGTTTTAGAGAGCAATCCCGGCATCACTGGGGGCAAGGGGCATCAGAGGGTACTTTGGATTCTCACATCTGTACTCAGGTTCTCAGCACTCCAATCTGCCTCCTTGCCTCATAGCTGGTGTGGAAAGAAGCGGATCAGATGCCTCTCTGACATCAGAAGCTTGACCTTAGGGAGGAGGGTCATGGGCATTCTGGGCAGTGGGAGGAGACTGAAAAGGCCAGGATACAAACTATTCTATGTCTTTGTAGCCTTCTTCCCTCCTCCTCAGAAGAGCCACAGCTAGATGGCTTGAAACTGTCATCTAGGAAAATGTAGAGCAGATAGTGTGGATAGCTGGTGATCACCTCTACCATCCTGTTTGCGCAGGATGCTTGTAAGCTTCTGAGTTTGGGAGGTTTAAACATTGAGGGCAAAGCCCATAGGATAGTGCTCTTAGACAATGAAAAAAGCTGAAAAGAGGATGGAAGGCAAAATTTAGTTTCAGAGAATATTGCTGTGGAAGGAGGAATACATATGCTCCTAAGTTACATGCTAAAAACAGGTTACTACAGAAATGATGCATGAAACAGTACTGGGTAGAGAACCTTAACGAGGTTCAACAGATCAACTTAAACCTTCTTCCTTACAAAGCAAACAGAAATAACATGAACACATTTTGGACAAACGTGAGCTAGATCTACAGGCAGTCATAAAAATATACTCACCAGTTCACTAGAGATAAGTGAGCCCAGTCCTCTAGTGAGCAGCATAGCCAGCACAGATCTCATTTCCACCACAACTTTTGAACAGGTAAGAAACAGCAAGAGAAATGCCTGGGGTTTTGTTCTGTTTTGCTTTTACTTTTTACATACCTTACCCAAATGAGAACAGGTTATGCCTCTCTCTCAAGACCTCTGTATATGCCAAAAGACTCCTAGCAGCAGTATGGATTGATGGTAACCACAGATATTGGTGGCTAGGAAATTGAGCCAACATTTGTGGGCCTTTGTATACATGCTTAGCAGGTCATTACTTATTTTAAAATACACAGGATCATGGCCATCCATCTCCCCATATCAAGCCAAATTTTAATCTTGGTGAAAATTCAAACAGAACTTGAGACACAACTTGACAAGGCTCTCAAGGTTGTTTCATGCACCTCCTCTCCCTTTTAACTTCACACAACCTTGTCAGGCAGTTAGGCCTAGTACAAAGTCAACCAGTGGACCTCAAGGCTGAGTGGAGACATGAACCTGATTCTCCCAAGTCTCAACCCAAACCTCTAAACCTGACAGTACACTGGCTCCTATATGCAAACAGAGAGTTACCGGATACATGCGCAACCCTTATTCTACAATCTTAATTGAAGAACAGTTTTAATAGCTCCGGAGTACAGACAGAGGTTGTCTGGCTGTTCATATGTAGAAGGGGGCTGGGTGGGACAGAAATATGAGAAGCTCTCACCATTTCCTCTTCTTTCCTCTTAAGATCCTGAATTCGCTGCTGTTCTTCCTGGGCTAGCCTTTCCTGTTCTTTTTGTTGATTCTTCAGCATTTCTTCATGGAATGATTTTGAAGGGGGTTTATTGTAGTCATTGAGAAATGACTGTATATAATCTGCCAGTTCGAAGATCATCACCTGGATAGCAATGGCAAAAGTAAAATCTGATGCATTTAGATTAAGTATCAATCATAATTGCACTTATTTGAGGAACTTACTACTGATCTCAGTGGAACACTAATTTTTTATTTTTAAGCTGGCTAGCAGGAGCAGTCCATGCCAAAAGCTGCTTGGGACCTCTTTTTGCATGTAGTTTGGTGCTAAGAATTCCAACTGCTTCTGCTGTATGCACACTTTTGAGACTGAAAACAGCCATGCATAAAAACCATTCTAATGTTATATTGATAATAACAAATCATGTTGGTAAAAGAAGAGTTTCAAAATAATATCTTAGCAATGCCTTTAAAAATGGAACAGTAAAAAAGGAAGCATTTATTTTTTAAAAGACACAACTAATCAGAAACCTCTACTTGACAGCATTCAAGTTCATCATTCAGAAATGTATATGGTGCACTATTAATGGTATTCTATCAGAATGAAGACAAATGATGATGACATTTTAAGAATACCAGTGAAAGGGAGAACTTGATCCATCTGCCTTGTGAATAAAATCTGAACTCACATTAATCTGAGAACAGATAATCAAGATTTACAAAGTATAAGGTCATTATTACAGTTCTGCTCTGCAGAAGATACTATGATTTAAATTGTAATTGCAGATATTAAGATCACATTATCCAAGGAAAGGACAAATTGCATTTCTCACTATAGAAAAACCACTTTTGCTTTCGACTGGCTGAAAAAATGTAGACAGATGGGGCAGCTAGTTGATCAAAGATAAGGTTTCTGTATACTTCTTTGCAATATAAGAATGCATTAGTTTTGCAGAATAGTTAGCAGAATCCAGGTGGCAGTTAATAAGGCAAGGTTCCCCTGCATGCCACAGCAATAGCCTAGAAGCTGCTTGTAGGATAGCTCTTTCCCTATGTGTGCTTACCTCTTGATTTCTAAATTCCCATGGCAAAAAAAAAAAAAAAAAAAAGGGAGATGGAGATCAATGCAAACTTAATTGCAAACACTTAAAGGTGTTAGGGCACACCTTTCCAGGCACCCCCAAAATAATTGTATATGAATAATCTGTAAATATTTGCTACAGAAAACAACGGTGCATTTCCATCTACTGTGTTAATTTGAACAAAGTTAAATGTTACCTGTTTATTTCACATAGCAATGAAGATCTTTCAGTTATAACATTTAGATATTGTTGGTATGATGTGATGGTTATATTACACATTTATACCATATCTTTCCACTTTCATGATGAAGAAAACTAGCAAAACCATCTAAGAAAACCACTAAGAGCCTCAGAATAGTAAAGAATAACACTAGGATACTAACTTGCAAATTATCTGAAAAAAGTAAAACTATCTGTGTTGAACATAATATCCAAAATCTATTAAGCCAACCAAGAGGATCACAAAACATGTATTACCAAAATATTATCATCATCATCATCATCATATTTCTATGCCGCCCCTTGCCGAAACCTCGGGGCGGCTTACAACACAATAAAATACATTGAAATACAATAGAACATAATAAATTACCATTAAATACAAAAATACAAAAAATACACTGAGTTACAAATATAAAATTAAAATTATCAGGATAAAATAAGTAAATAAAAATATAGGAGGAGAAAAGAGAAGGAAGAAGAAGTTGCCCTGGCCAGATCATATGTTTTAACAATTAAAATGATGTTTAAATAAAAAGGTCTTTACCTGGCGCTGAAAAACCAGTAACGATGGTGCCAGGCGGACCTCTTTGGGGAGTGAATTCCATAGGTTGGGCGCCACCACAGAGAAAGCCCTCCTCCGAGTACTTACTCTCCTAATTTCTTTCATGGAGGGTTCCCGGAGAAGGGACTCTCCCACAGATCTCAAAGGGCGATCGGGCATATACGGATGTAAGCGCTCGTTCAGGTAGCCAGGACCCAAGCCGTTTAGGGCTTTATAGGTCATAATCAACACCTTGAATTGGGCCCGGGCTTCAATGGGAAGCCAGTGAAGCTGACGGAGGACTGGAGTCATGTGAGCATAACGCCCTGTCCCCGTCAGCAACCTGGCAGCTCTATTTTGCACCAATTGAAGTGTTCGGACCGTCTTCAGGGGAAGCCCCACGTAAAGCGTGTTACAGAAGTCTAGGCGGGAAGTCACCAGCGCGTGTGTCACCGTCGCCAGGCAGTCGTACTCCAGGTAGGGGCGCAGCTGATTTATCAGCCGAAGCTGAAGGAAGGCGTTCCTCGCCACCGCTGTCACCTGAGCTTACAAAGAAAGCTCCGGGTCGAGGAGTACTCCTAAGCTGCGGACCTTATCCCTAAGAGGGAGTGTTGCACCATTCAGGACCAGGTCAAATCCACCCTCTCCGAAACCCAATCCGCCAACCAACAGGACCTCCGTCTTGTCTGGGTTGAGTTTCAGTTTATTGGCCCTCATCCATTCCCTTACCTTGGCCAAGCACCGGTTCAGCACAGCCACTGCCTCACCTGGATTAGTGGAAAACGAGAGGTAGAGCTGGGTATCATCAGCGTATTGATGATTCCGCAGCCCACACCTCCTGATGACCTCTCCCAGCGGTTTCATATAGATGTTAAATAGCAGAGGGGATAGAATGGAGCCCTGTAGTACTCCATGGCATAACTGCCATGATGTAGAGACATGGTCCCCCAGCACTACCTTCTGGAATCGACCGTTGAGATAGGAGTGGAACCACTGCAAAGCAGTGCCTCCAACCCCCAATCCCACAAGCCTATCCAGAAGGATACCATGGTCGATGGTATCGAAAGCCGCCGAGAGGTCCAGAAGAACCAACAGGGATGCACTCCCCCTGTCCTTCTCCCTGCACAGGTCATCGTACAGGGCGACCAAGGCAGATTCAGTACTGTACCCGGGTCTGAAGCCCGACTGAAAAGGATCCAGATAATCAGTTTCATCCAAGAGTGCTTGGAGTTGTCCCGCCACCACTCGCTCCAACACCTTGCCCAGAAACGGGATGTTGGCCACAGGTCTATAGTTAGTGGCCATCTCTGGATCCAGTGACGCTTTCTTCAGGACCAGTCGTATTACCGCCTCCTTTAAAGGGGCAGGCACTCGACCCTCCCTCAGAGAAGCATTAACCACTTCCAAGATCCAGGTCCCAATCCCGTGCTTGGAGTTATTTATTAACCAAGACGGGCAAGGATCCAATAGGCAAGTGGTGGGACGTACTCGTCCAAGCACCTTGTCCACATCATCGGGCCGCAATAATTGAAATTCCTCCAATAATTTTGGACCAGACGGTAGCATTGGCGACTCCTCAGAGACCTCTGATTCATTAGTGGAGTCCAGCTCGTGACGAATCTGAGCGATTTTCTCCCTGAAATGCCTGGCAAAGTCGTCACAGCGGGCCTTTGAGGGTGGCATTGGATCTTCCTTAGGACCCGGGCGAACCAGGCCTTGTACCACTCGAAAAAGCTCCGCCAGACGGCATTGTGAGGAGGCAATGGAAGCGGAAAAAAACTTCTTTTCGCCGCCTTCACCGCCACAGCATAGGCCCGATAGTGGGCTCTCAAGTGTGTTCGGTCAGATTCATCCCGTGATTTCCTCCACCTACGCTTTAGTTGTCTCCCAACCTGCTTCATTGCCCGCAATTCAGGTGTATACCAAGGGGAAGAGCGGACTCTGCCCGGTGGGAGAGGACGCTTGGGAGCGATCGTGTCCACAGCCCTGGTCATCTCTCCGTTCCACAGTTCGACCAGAGCCTCGACAGGAGCACCAGTCTTGTCAGCCGGAAACTCCCCCAGGGCCTTCAGGAATCCATCCGGATCTATCCGGCTCCGGGGGCGGGCCCATACAATCGGGTCCGCACTCTTATAGAGGGAGAGGCCGCTCTCGAGCACAAACCTCACCAGGAGGTGATCTGACCATGACAGGGGAGTCAAACATAAGTTCCTCACCCTCAGGTCATCCTCTTCCTGCCCCGTCATGAATACCAGGTCCAGAGTGTGTACACGTTCATGGGTTGGGCCAATGACGTGTTGAGACAGGCCCATGGCCAAAATACTACCAAAATATTACCAAAAAACTTGCCCCTGGAGGCAGGGGGACGACAAGAACAACAATCACATACATACAAATTAACAAGTATAGCAAAGTATTTATTGGTTGGCAAAATGAAATAACTGTGAAGTCCTACACCAGCTTGTAGATCTTCTTGGAAAATGAGTGTCGTAACACTGAGGCCACAACTGGGAAGGCTTCGTTTTGCCTCCTCTCAGCTCCCCAGGCTTAGCTTTACAATTAGTGGAGATCCATGTAATGTCTACTCACTCAATGACACAATGCTAATACATATACTGCATGCAATGGGGTAGATTCATACTAAGTCATTACTACCTTTCAGTCCCATTGATTTCAATGGTAATTATGGTTAAAGTTTGACTAAACTCAGCTCTATTCCAGCATTCCTTATCTATGTGAGTTAAATACATGGGGAGGTCAAACATTTATTTATTTATTTAAAGCATTTTTATGCCGCCCCCTTTGCAACAAGCCTCGGGGTGGCTTACAAAGCAAATAAACAAATATTGAATAAAACTTTAAAATGCTAGAACCACACCCTCCTCATACATTTCCCTCTACACATGGAGAACCACCTTCTGAAAAGGAAAACCTACTCTACACATGGACAGTCTCCATGTATTCTGGAATAATGGAAAATCATTATGGTCTGTTACTTCATGTAAGCTTCTGTCTCTTCATACCCATATAGAGCCTTTATCTCTAGTCTAAATGGGTATGGATATGCTCAGACCTTATAAGAAAGGTATTGCACGGCCTCAACCTAAGGAAGTAGGTGCTTGTCAAACTCATTTAGAGCATAAGAAAACATATGACAAAACTTGTTTCCAACAATGTAAGACATATTAGGGCTACCATCCTAGGATGGTCTCTATTTTCATTGAGTTCCGATAAGGTCAGTTGAGTTCAGACAGTCCTGCAGGATGTCATGATTAACAAAAAAGAGAACTCATGGTTTAAAATTCACAACTGTCAGTAGAAGCTGAGGTTCTCAACACAATCTCTCAGGTTCTTGATATGTACACAACACAGCACGTCAGACTCCACTTGACAAGCCACATGCGTGTTGCTCAATATTGAAGGCAAAATTAACAAGCTTACCTCTCCGCAACGCTCTTTTGCCAGTTCCTCTAGCCTGGATTTTAACAAGTTGATGGTTTCATTTGATAAACCCTTTGCATTTTTAAGTTCAATTTCTGGAACGCTACAGGAAAGAAATTATTCACAAGAGAGGAGATGCATATGTAAGTTATATAACAGCATTGCACTCCATCATTCAAATAAATAATCCTACTTCAAAAGTGTAAATAATTTAAAGGACTTATATGCCACCATTTAGTGCCCTCTCCTCAATATAACCAACTTCAGTCAAAAGCTTTTTTTAAAAAAAATGAGAGGAATCCACAGTAAATTAGTGTTCTGTAGGAGTCCAGAGCAGCTTGCAAACAAGCTAATTTTGATGTCTGGGTGTTCTGTAGCCACTACAGATACCCTCCCCTCTTCTTTGGCACTACACTGTTTGTGGAGAGGAAGGGGTGAAAACATATTCTGATATCCCAAAGTTGCTACCTATGCTTTAGGGCAAAACCCTCTCAACCTAGCTTACTTAAAAAGGATAAAACATTCTGTTTACAAAATACAACAGAAGTTAAAATATTTCAAGAATACACAGCCCCCCTCATAATACAACTCACAAAAGAAATAGAAGACAATATTAGCATATCATAATTAAAAATAGTGTAGAATAAAAGGGGTTTTCTAAGCCTGTTCAAGAGACGGTATTGAAGGGGTCAAATATGAGGAGTTCTGCAAATATGCAGTCAATGAAAAGACTGTTTCTAGCACTTGCCAGACTGAAGCAATTTGTCAATGTCTAGGCATGTATACGGTATCATATACGCATAGGCATGTGAACCCTCAATAAACATTCAGCTGACTGCATTCTGTACTAGTTGAAGCTAATGAGCTGTCTTTAAAAGTGTCCTTACTAGAGTGTATTGCAGTAATCTGGTCTGCATCAGTAACTGAGGCTAGGTCTGCCTTCCCAAGTTTGATTTACAACTCAAGTGTTAGCCTAGTTTGGTAAAGGCATAAGCCACAATTCTACAGAGAATGCTGAGTTCAGGAAAACCCTGAAAATGTGAACTTGGTCCTTTAGGGAAAATACAATCCTATCCAATACGTCTTCCATTCAGAGCAACTGATTTCTCTACCAACTGTACCTCTGGCTTATCTGGATTAAGCTCCAGATTGTTTACCCTAGGCATCCAAGGAAATTTGAAGGAGAAAAATTTGTGAAGTTGCGAGTGTTAGTGAGGGAGGGCAATCTGGATAAGATGAATAGCTAAGGAGGGAGAAAGGGTTACAGAGCTCTGCATAAAGGACCCAATCAGGCTTCCTGTTCCTACTCTAGTGTAAAAAGAAAAAAAAAGACATATCTGCCACCTTCATCTTTTGGTCCTAAGGCCCAGCTGAGGAGATACCACTGGTGCCTGTGTAAACATTACACGTTTTGTAATGTTTACAAAATGATTCATTTTGAATCATTCATTTTCTGTTCATTTGGTACAAGAAACTTCTGTAATCTCAACAAGTCGTCTGCCACCTTGACCTGAAGTTGGCAATCTTCATCATTACTTTGGTTATCCCATGCATTGAGAAGCATGATTTGAATAGATTTAGACAGATAAAACCCTTTCCATATCTCATTTTAGTATTTCTAACAGGTAAGAACACATTCAGTTTAAATAACAACAAAAACTGTGCAGGTGTGCTCTTTTTCTAATTAGTAAAGTACAGTATATATTTATTATTTACTTACATATCAGGATAGGTTTGTGGACATCTGACTCGCAGGTCAACTTTAGCATAGACTTCATGGTCACCGGCTAAGCCCTGAGGTCGCAAAACTAGATTGATTTCTGTAGAACACCGTACCTGAAATATTTAAAAACCACAACCAGAGAGTTAATTCTTATATTGAAGGAAAGCAACTGAGAGCCTGGGTTGTCAATAAAGCCCTCACAAGCTGCCTATTTGCATCCAGCATATGTATTAGATAACAAGGCTGTTGCTTTCTTCTGTTGTTATTCTCACTGAGAAGGATGCAATTAGAAGAACCCTTTATTCAGGAGAGCTTTTGGCCTAGACAGGGGCTTTTGGCCTTGGTTCAATGTAAAATATGGCTCATTTGAAATACAGTCACCAAACAAATTAGGGAACAGTGTGAACAGTTATAGAACATTCCAAGGTTCAGGGCAAATCAGTAAATCACCATCACATAATAAAATGTCGATCATTATGACAGATATACTGCAGAAATGTGTATAAGACTGAACAGATTGGTTGAGTGGGGGAGAATGTGCAATGTCCGTCTCTCTCATTGTGCATCCTCTGTAGAAGCCTGCAGTGAGTGACTGGGTTCGCACAGTAACAGTGGCTTGTCATGGCCTATTTAAGTCACAAAGAGCTGCAGCATTCCTCTAGAACCCGCACATTAACCACAATCCATGGGGTCAGATGTCACAACAAGCCACAGTTGCAGCCTGAATATTTAAAATGGCTGCATGCACAGCAACCATGCAAACTGACCCAGTGAACCAGGAAACACAGTTGTTGCAATAGTGTCCTCAAATGCATTCCTTTACTTTTAACAGTAAGGTTAAAAGTAACAGTCAATATCAATCATTCACATATGGGATAGTACCAAGAATGTGGGGGTGAGCGTTTCCTCACTTATATCTCCAGAATGAAAATAAATCATACCCTTATTTTCAATTCTGGGTAGCTTCTCTTCATCTGCCTAAACCAAATTCAGCTTCTTGGTTGAATGGATAGTCATGCTATTTTAAATAAATCTCCTAATGTGTTGTTGGTAATTTAGAACAAAGCAAGCTGTCAGTATTTTTAAAATAATAAAAGTAACTCTGTTTAATCACAGCTGCTGTAAACATTCACAAAAAGACAGACTACAAGCTTCAATGGAGTTAATCAATGTAATCTAATCAAATATAGGTTTTAAGCAAAGGTGGGACTGACAAGAGATAAAGCTCTTGAAGCCTATTGTGGTATATCTGTGAAGTATTTTCACCCTTCAAGAAACAAACTTACTTTCTAGTCTGTACCCAAAGCAAACTGTTTCAAACTGCAATTTCTCTGTAAAAGGCAAAATGGCCCACATTCTTCAGGTGGTTCAACCTGCCCCTGCTGTCCATTGTTGTGATTGTGAAATACATAAATTGATCAAATCAATCATTTAAAAGCCAGAAAGGTTTTGAAAAATGATTACTATCCTTTGAAGCAAGTTATCTTTCAGGTACCAATTTATTTTTCTTAAAACATTTTTATTAGAATGGACAAAGGATATCTGCCTACAATGTTTTAGAATGACATTATCACAAAGAAGTATAGCTATTGGTTTTGGAGACAGAAGGATTTTTCTTTATAAGATGCAACATTACGTATGTATGCAGAAGTAGTTTACTGAAGAAATTCTGTTCTCTCTGCATTTGGATGTATATACTTTAATCACCATTTTTGTCTATACAGCCATTCAGAAATAGGACTGCTTATACAAATGCATTTAAGGCATGAATGCTGAATTTCTGTTAATATTGTGATCTGACATAGGCTTTTTGTTAGTCTTTGTTGTAAGTTCAAATTAAAGAAAAAAAGAAAAAGAACAACCCAACAGCAGTAACATACAATAATAAAACCCTCAGAATTTGCATCCAAGAGAAACCATAAGCAGATTAAGTTAAAGAAAAGCTGCATCAAGTGTCACACACAAATGTCTTGGGACAGCTACGTAGTCTTTTGGGGAAATTAGCATGAAGAATAATCCTACTAATTATTCTTAATGTAACAACATGCAAAACAAGTTAGCACTGTTAATTTTAATATACACTGGGCACTTCACCGTTAGCAGCTGCACTTGGGGAAAAGTAAAGAAAGGCAATTCCCTTTGATACTTATCATCTCATTTACTCAAATGATGTCAAGTAATAACAAAAGCACCTATCTCTTACTAAGCTCTGGAGGGAAAAGGGAAAAAAGCTACATCATGCACACCAGGCACATTTGCTTTACATTACAATTGTATCATCAGTTCTTATAGTTCTCTAATGTACAGTTACATTTTTTAGGCTTAGCCATGTGCAATGCAAAATCTGTAATCTGTAAGTTAAATAACATCACAAAAGTTAATTAATCTATCAATCCTAGAGGTTAACACTACAGAACAAAAGTTACAAATATGTTTCAGGTTTTCCTATATTATAAATTCCACAGCTGTATTAATAGAAAAATTTTGAGAAGAAACTTTTTTGTATGTCGACTTAGTCAAAAAGACCACAGATTTCTAAGGCTTCTGTAACATTTTAATTTTCGCTATAGTAATTTTCACTATATACATACTAATAGTATAATTTCTGGAATAGGTAAGTTCTAAAACCTATTGTGTAGGCCTAGAGTCAAGGCATTAGTAACATAACATGTGATTGACCAAGCTTAAAGTAGTCCCTCAACTCTAAATGACACACAACCAGGAATTGTTCATCATCATCACCATCACCATCTGTCTAGAAAAGCAAATAGGAGTTTATTTAGGTGTTCTAGGTGTCTGACAACCCTACTAAACTACAGCAGGATCCCTGTATCCTCAGGGGATAGGTTCCAAGCCCAACAGATGCCTGAAATAGCAGATAGTAGTGAACACTATATACTGCACGTATACATTTCTTTTTTCACAATTTCATGGATAGATTTGTTCTTACCACACATCTTAGCAACCTCAGCATACTTTTTTTCTTTCCCTGTTACATTGAGAAGTTTCCACTGAAACGAAGGACTTTATGACGTCTCTTTCACATTTTATAACTTCTCTTATGAACCAAGGTCAACAGTGGCCAAGTGTGACTGTGGTAACTGGACCTGCAGATACAGGGGTCCTGCAGCGCAACTGATGGTGAATTAAGTACATTAAGCTTGGTAAGTTGCAATTTTGCAGTAACTGGACTTTTGAAAGTAATCTGAAAGATCTGGCTGACTTTGATAGCTGAGTAAGATTTATGGTTACCAGAATACAACTGCTGTTCCACCCACCCACAAGCTGAGTGAAGGGTGGGCTCTTGTCTCTGGTATACCAGTCTGAGAAGGGGAAATAAGGGTTCATCTCTGCAGGTCTGTTTGAGCTTTAGAGGTGTGTGGAAAGATCTTTCTGCTTTCAAGAACGTCACTAAAGTTCACCACAACACAGAAGAACAACTCCCCTTTCCAAATGGTGTAGCTTGCTGGATCAAAAGAGAGAGTCATTCTTGGTGACACAGTGAGTGCACTTCTTTCAACACTTCATTGCCTTTCCCTGACAAAGCATCCAGTTGAGACAGTAATCAAGCCTTCAGCTTGACATGTCACAACAATGAAGAGCATGATGAATATATGGGAAAGAAATGCATATTCCTAGGGGGGCACAGAAACCTAGAACAGAGGAATTCTATGCTAGAAATTCTCCAGTTTTATTCACAGAAGCTACTCCTGAAATTAAAAACAACAACACCATTCCTTCTCCCAAATGCCTTCTATATTTTAATATTATTATTTTACCACAGTTACATACCACAACTTCATCAAATGATTCCAAGGAAGTGTACAATAATAAAAAGAATAACAGTCATTAACCTAAACTACAAGCCAGCATTAAAAGTGCCTTTTACGGGACACACAGAACTTAAGAGTCACAGCTAACTAGGAATGTCTGTTGAGGACCGTTTCACATAACAGTGACTGGCCCATCCATGCCACTTGAAATCATTTCTGCACAGCTCCTGCCCCATGCTGGAAGGTGTTTATAAACAGCAACTGTTTGCCACATGGCCGCCCAGCCACGCAGTCTGCTTCCGTACAAAATATTCCCCGCGGTTTGCAGCAGACCAAGAAGGCCACTAGACTGAAACAGCTCCCTGGGCTGACTTGTTGCTACTGCGGCTGCTCAAAGCGAAAGAGGTCGGACCAAAAGAAGTCAACCCCCTAGCACGGGCTACTGAAACTCCGCATGTCGGCTCCTTTGCAAGCGGCAGCAAAACAGAATGTTCGGGTTCCCGCAATATAAAAAAGCATTTCACTGAAAGATAAGCAGCCTGACTAGGAGTGCAAAAGGCCTAGACAATTAGAGAGAGATGAGAATTGACCTTAAGTGATCAACCTTAGGAAATACCACGTGAAAATAAGGGCTTGGGGCTAATCAGGCAAGCAGACAAGACCTAAAGTGTAGTCTCAGGTGAGGAAGTCCCTGGCCCAAACTCCGCAGGGCGCTCCCCTAAACGACCGCTACTCACAACCCCCGTTGTCGTCACCAGCGCCCGGAGCGGAATAGCCTTCGTCGCGTTACCTTCCAAGGCTGGCGGAGACTCAAGTCTTGGAAGTCCCGCCCGTAGATGGATTCCAGCACTTGCAGCTCGTTCTCCTGGCGGTTCTGGTAGCTCTCGGGGTGGTCCTGCGAGGCCTCGGTAGCCTCGGCCCGCGCCTGCCACGTCCCGCGCGGTCGGGCCATTTCCGAGAAAGTTTAAAGCGCAGGGCAAGCGCGGGCAGGGACGAGCGCCTCAAGCCCAGGCCGCCGCAGCAGAGCCTGCCGTCCACCATGGATCCGCGGCGGGCGGAACGAGCGACTCTTCCGTCCTGCTAGCAGGCCCCACCAAATGCCGGTGCTGCCCCTGGCGACGATGTGAGGAGAAGAAAGCGAGCGAAAGCCTTTGGGTGCAACCTCTCGTTCGTCTCCTATGCACATAAATAGGCTTCGACGCGAGACGTTGTGTGTTCATGGTCCCTCCAGGCACGGACGTTTGCTGAGCTGCGGTGTTTTCAGCCATGGTCGCGGGGGTTTATCAGAGCTAGGAAAGTGTCGTATTAGGCCCCTAAGAGGTATTTAATCCAGCAGTTTACCTGGGTTACTTCCGTTTTATTTGTGGGAGGAAAACCATCCATTTCTCCTCCCAGGGTGAAGGACCCCCCTGTCTTTCTCCATTACACAACAAAAGGGGGTAGAGTGGATAGAACAGAATTTAGACTTAACATAAGGCTTCTGTTGCGAATAACGGCATCATTCAGGAAAATACTACATTATTATTGCTCTTAAATAGCCACAACAATAGCGACAAAACATGGGACAGGCCTTGGACAATGTCATTATATATTTGTTGTTGTTAGTCGCGAAGTCGTGTCCAACCCATTGCGACTCCATGGACAACATTCCTCCAGGCCTCCCTGTCCTCCACCATCCCCCAGAGTCCACTTAAGCTCACGCCTGCTTCAGTGCCTCCGTCCAGCCACCTCGTTCTCTGCCACCCCCTTCTTTTCTCTTCAATCGTTCCCAGCATCAGGGTCTTCTCCAGTGAGTCCTTCCATCTCATTAGGTGGCCAGAGAATTTGAGTTTCATCTTCAGTTTCTGGCCTTCTAAAGAGCAGTCAGGGCATCATATATAGGACCTGGAAAATACCAGGAGTGAAGGAACATGGTGGGTTTAAATGGTGGGTTAAACTCCTAACTAGAGAAGTCCCCGGTTAATGAAATTTGTAGCATCCAACATTTCAAATGTTACTTTTTTAGTTTTTGTACATAAAATGTGCCTATCCTTTATGGTAGTTTCTCTAAGGCAAAGCACACCCCACATGGTTCATTCTGAACCTTCTGCTTTCCTTGAGCACCCACTATCTGAAGACACAATCCTATGCATGTTTAGACAGAAAAAGAGTCCTATAGCTTCCAGTTCAGTATTAGAGGGAGGGATAACATATTTGTTAGTAAGTTGGGGAATCAGTTAAGTGCAGTACTTAGTACTATCTAGAAGTACTAAGTAACTAATCAGCTATCCGTAGGGATAGGTTTGGTGAGAGAAAGTTGGATTTGGGTATCAGGAAAGTAAATAAAACTCCACACCTGTTTTTTGCTGATGGCAATTGTTTAAAGGGTAAGCAAAAGGATGGGCAATGAGTGAGAGGCGAGTGGGCTCACATCTTCACCAATCATTAAGGTTATCTCCATTGTAGCATGTGTGCAGATAAAAAGGGTTAAGGAAACAATTGAACATAACAGAAAAGATCTGTATTTACTATTATTATGATGATGATGTCTGTGGTGAATATTGGAACTCAACATTCAAAACATACATAGTTAGAACATTAATACAAATGTACAAAAGTTAAACTCCAAATCAAGTAGAATATAGGGTGGGCCAAAAGTATGATACAAATTCCGGTCAGTACCAATGTTGATCAACGATTGTGAGGTGAACTCTTTCATTTCATCCACCTTATGAGAGCCTCCTGACCTATACCTACTTTTGGTGCACCTGTATATAAAATACCAATATTATAGCATTAAAACAGTATAGAAAAGAGAACTAGTCCAACACCATCTCACAGGTCTGGACTATTTGCAAAGAACTGCTGGAACAGAAACGTTGCTTACTTCTGAAAACATCTACCAATGAGGATGCCAGTCTAGCCTCCCTGGGAAGGTAGTGCAAGGGGAGCTTTAGGGTAACCACTAGGAAGGCCTTTTCCTGCATTCCCACCAGTGTTCCTGTGAAGGAGGTGGGACCAAGCAAAGTGCCTCCTCTGAAGATTTTAGGGTACAATTAGATTCAAAATAGCTGCACCCAAGCTGAATAGAGCTTTGTATGTTATAACTAGCACTTTGAATTGGGCCTGGAAACAAACTGGGAGCCAGTTAAGCTATTTCAGCAAGGGAGTTGTATGCCGTCTATAGCCTTCCTCAGAGAGCAGTGTGGCAGCAACTCTCTGAACCAGCTGGAGTTTCTGAACACTCTTCAGAGGCAGCCCCACATAGAGCACATTACAGTAATCCAAAAAAGGATGTAACTAACGCATGTTTCCCTGTGTCCAAATCAGACAACTCCAGGAAAAGGTGCAGCTGGTGCACTAGTTTTAACTGTGCAAATTCACTCCTGGCCACTGCTGAAACCTGGGCATCTAGCCTTAGTTGAGGATTACCCCAAAGTTCAAACCTGAGTCTTCAGGACAACGAGACTGGATCCCTATTCCTTGATCTGTCTTTTGACTGACTAGGAGCACCCCTGTCTTGTCTGGATTAAGCATTAATTTTCTGCCAACAGACCCCAATTTAGCACCAAAACAGATTCCTTAGAACAAGATAAAAATGAGTAGTATTAGGTGCCATCAGCATACAGGTGCCATTGAACTCAAAACTTCGGATAATCTTTTCCAACAGTTTATATATTAAATAGCACAGGGAACAAAACAGAAGCCTGAGGAACTCTACAGGGAGTCAAACAAGAATTCTCCTGCACCATCTTCTGGGTTTGCTACTCCAGGAAGGAACAAAGCCACTGTAAGACACTGTTTTCAATTCCTATGGCAGTGAGATTACTAAGAAGAATTCGATGTTCACTGGTATTGAAAGCTGCTGAGAGGTCCAGCAGAACCAACAGATACACACTTCATTGTCTAGCCAAAATAAGTCATTTACTAAAGCAAACAAAGCTATTTCTATCCCATAATCAGGTCTGAGATGAGACAGAGATATTCTGTCTTATACAGGAATTAGATCTCCTCCATTAAACACAAATGACTAGCAGTTGTAGGAAACCAGTGTCAGTTCAGGACTGAAACAATGAGGAATGTTTCTTCACCAATTTTTAAATAAATAAATAAAATTTCCTCCCTTTAAGTGGTTATTATATTAATTATGCTGCTGGCTCAGAAATGCACATTACTTCTAACCAATTCTGGAAGGAAAAATACTAGCTTTAACTGTTCTGTTGAAAACGAGTTATTGAGTAAAATGGAATGTTTTTCTTTAATAAGACACAACATCCAAAATTACATGTAGTGTTAATGAGGGTCCCCTCTAAACATATAAATGTGTATTAACACACATTATAATAAGGGTTTATATTGGCTGTAACATGTCTTACCAAATTTGTCCCATTGATGTACTTACCCACAAGGCTAAATTAGATTAAGGGTAGTATCTTCCTGGAATTCTGTACGTAGTGGTGAAAATCTCTCCCCGACCATCCTACTTACAAAACGTGGAGGTATGCTATTCTTTTCCTGGGCTGTATTCATGCCTAGTTCCTCAATAAAGTACCTAATCTAATAATGGCATATTGAATCTAGTGTGCCTGCTAATTCTTAATGCTTTTGGGATCAGATTCTGATTAGGATCACTGCTTGTAACTTTCTTACACATTCTGGTTGTATAGGCCCCTTCAGGCTTGACTTTACAAGTGGCTGCTTTAAAGGCACTTGTAAAGTGACAGCACAATGCTACACATAAATTACTGAGTCAGTGCGGCTTCCAGCCTTTCATGACAAGCAGCCTGCCAACAGTAGCATTCATAGTCTCTGACGTGCGGGGGACAGAGTCTGTTTATTGAACTCTGCTAAGTTATGAATGACTGTTTCTTTCCATTTCTTTCTTTGCAACAATACTCCAGAAATGCAATGATTCTTTGTGCCTGTGTAAACATATAGGGTTATTTTCAAGGTAACATTTTTGCCAATACCCCCAACATATTATACCCCTCTACATCTTATCCCATATTGTTTCAAACAATTCCCCAACTCTCAGGAGCAGCTTTTTAGTGGGCAGAGGGATTGTACTAGTTAGGTTAGGTTGGCAGGACTTGGGTGTTCCACCTAGGTACAAGCAAACATGCTTTTTGCAACTGGAAAACCAGGACCAGATTGAGCCCAGAAATGAAATCATTATGTGCACCCATGCAAATATATGATTTTTATTTCTAGCCATTGGTATAGGGAAATTTATTGTAGGTTCCTGTGGCTTTCTGTCACCGTGACTTTTGTAATTACAAAAGATTTATAATGCCTTACAGAAGTATTTGCCCCCATTAGACTTCCACAAAAGTTAAATAAATAAGAACAAACTAGTACTTGTTGGTTGCTTAATATTCACCCCCTTTACTGTAACATGCCAAAATAATCCCTAGTGAAACCCACTGCCTCCGGAATTCAGTGCAAGTAGCTGAATAGAATCTGTGTGCAGTTCTAGTACCAATCCTCATAAATATACCTGTTACTGGAAGACATCAGAGTTCGTTGGGGAGCATCTCTAAAAAAATAGCTTTATGGAAAACTGGCAAGAAGAATGGCCTTGCTAAAACAAACCCATATCAAAGGCTGTTTGGAATTTGCAAAAGGGCATGTGGGAGACACAGGAAATATAATTGGTTGGGAGTGGGAGGCTAGATAGATAGAGCCAAATCCAGGAAAATTCTAGAGGAAAATCTGTTTCAGTCTGCAAGGGACCCGAGACTAGGACCAAGGTTTGACTTCATAGCAGAATAATTACCTTAAACACACTGGCAAAGTAACCCAGAATGGTTTAAATAGGAGGACATAAATGTCTTTGAATGGTCCAGTCAAAGCCCAGGCCTCAATCCTATTCAGAATGTGGCAAAACTTGAACACTGCTGCCCACCAACAGTCCACATGCAATCTGGCAGAGTTAAAGCAATTTTGCCAGGAAGAATGGACACACATTGCAGGCCCCAGATATGCATAACTAATAGTGACTTATGCAACAAGATTCACAGTTGTACTTGCTCCCCAAGGTGTTCCCACCAAGTATTGACTCAGAAGATTGAATGCTGATATAACCAACAAGCATCCATTTGGTTTGTTCACTTTTGTGCCAGGATAAAAATACTTTGCTACTTTTCTGTGCTGAACTTCTTATGAACAATAACGGATAACAATGTTAAAGTCTTTCCTTTTATTAAATAAACCTTTAATGCAACAGGATTATTATTATTTCACCATTGACATTTAATAAAATAGCAAAAGCTAAGATTATAGCATTATACATTGACAGAGATAGAGCTTGTTTATATAATAAAATAATAATTCTCAAAAGCAAGATAAATGTATGGACTGTGCCTTACATTTGCATTGAAAGACCCAAGATGTTTGATTATTCCTAGTGTAATTATTTTCTGACTACAATATTGTTGCTATAAATAAATCTAATTCCTGTACAAATTTTGCATGACAGTTCCATATTCTATTACATTAGATATCTCCTATTTTCTTCCCTTCCTAGTAATTTACTTGACCCTGAGTGACTGATGCCAAGGCATTCTGAGCTCTCCTACACAGTAAGTCTTACTACAGTCTCCTCAGTAAGACTGAAACAGTTTTACTTAGTCTCTTGTAAAACTGAGATCAAGCACTACACAAGGAGCATTTGCTTTTCTAATACATAACCTCTAGGTGGCATTGTAGTATAGTAGAATAGTGCAGTTACACAAGGGAAACCTGTACCTTCTTGAGCTTTTACCAATTTGGTGCTGCACTTTCAGGGTTTCCTACATGAAGCATTTATTGTGCATTAATTGTTCCTTGTTCATGTTGTTTCCAAGTTCTTTAAACATCATCACTCTCCAGTTTTGCTTGTATGTCAAACCAACATTTTGGTGAGATTTTTTTAGAGCAGGGAAAGTGCAAAATAAAGTGTGATTTCCTCTTGTGTATTTGCAGTATTCTGCTATACTGCAGTACCAGCTGGAGGTTAGGTAGCAGAAAAGCAGAAAAAAAATGTTCTTCATAGATCTCAGAACCACAATGGCTTATAGCAGAAGTAGATACGGCAGATGAACAGCCACTTAACAGTCTAATGTAAAAGCTCTTCCTCCTCTTAAAATAAAACAAACAAACAAACAAAAACACTTGCTGGAAGTGCTGGCTAGATGCAGAAGCAAACCGGAAGGTCATGATATTGTGTGAAGAACCATAAACAACCATGAGTATGGCATGACAAGTACCTTGTGGAGAGAAGACCTTTATCAAGGTCAAAACATTGTATTTGAATGTGGGCGGTGGTTCTACATTTAGACATTCCTAGAAGGCACTGCTTTCCTTGGCCTGCTTCAGCCTGGCTTCTGGAACAGAAATATTGTAGTCTGTGTCAGGAGAAACAGAGAGACTGCATCGCTATTGATTCATTTAGATGTCTGTGCATTGTTGCTACTGCCTAATCATGTTTCCTTCCCAATTTGCTGCCTGGGATAGTGACTAAAGGCACTGTTCTTCACTGGCTCTGTCAGGCCCACCTTCTGTAAAACAGGGTATTTCATCAATGGGAGTTAATGATAGGATACCCTCTCCAGATTAGCTGGGAACCATTCCAGAGTTTTTGGAATAGGGTGCCAATGAGGGTTTTATCCCTTCTAGTTGACAATATGCTTTTATTGTGCCACCACCTGCCTTATGAATAGAATTATTCAGGGTGGGACCTAGCCCTTGTAACAATCCTATGTTTTTCTGCTGCTTTTTTTTCTCTTTTCTCTTACTGCAAGAAAACCCATTAAGCAGAACAGGGCAGAAACATTTTAGGAAGCCTTCTAATTAGTAGACCTAAGAGCCCACGGGTTGGAAACACTTAGAGAAAGTAAAGAGTGGATTGCATTTTAAACTGGGAGAGAAGCAAAGGAAGTGGGGCAGTTTTTAAGTGGTGTTAACTGGAAATTGGGATGCAGTAGGAGAAGAGAGCTGCATGAAGTTCCTGGGAATCTGCTAACTACTGTAGCACTTCCACTATGTCCTGTATGTATATCTGGAGATACAGTAAATGCACCAAGACATCTTGAGTATCTGTTACTTTCACACAAAGGAAAGCTGCAGCGGCTTTCTTGAGCTGGAGAATTGCAACCATATAAAGTTGAGGGCCAGCTAAACACCATTTTTCCTATCCGTGGTCGAATCTCACTTCTAGAATATGCTAGTAGTCATATGTGGACTCCCATCCATATTAGACGATAGATTATATGGCTACCTGCTTGGCATACATCGGTTTTACGGGAGACTGTGGATTCGTGTGTATGTAAATTTTATAGAGGAAGGGCATGGTAGCCCTAGAAATTGCCAGGTATTGCAACCTATGAAGTGTTGTTTTAAAACCCTTTAATTCTTTATCCAGCAGCAAAATCCCAGCATAAAGTATATGCTCCTCCTATTTAGCATGTATTTCTATTCAATAAATATACATGAACTTTCTGATTTCTGAATACAATTGCACAGTGTAGTTTTTACACAAAACCTTGAAGAGAGAACTCCAAAAGGTAAAATGGCTGCCACAAAAATAAAATTAGTGCGCATCGCGGGCAGTCATGTGATTGGCGCGCGCGCTTTCTGTCAGTCAGTCTGTCTCTGAAAAAAGGCAACAAACAGACGGTACCGAGAGCGCCAACAAGCCTCTGATGCCTTCCCGGTGCGATTCTGCAGTCCGTGGAGCGACGCAGACATGGAGACGCGACTGGCAGGCGCTCCTGCCTGCCATGTCACAGAGAGAATTGCGTTTGATTTGAAGCTGCGCTATTAAAATAAAGAAAAGTGCACGCACACGCGGGCTTTTGCAGTTCGCTGCAAACCGAAGCCGCGCTAGCCTACGGATTTTTGACAGAGGAAATAGACGCCGCCGTCTCCCTTGCAAGGATGTGACAGCTGAGCCGAATCTTGGCATAGGAAGGAAGAGCTCCAAGGGGTCTCCTCGTCCGATGCGGGCGGGTCACGATCGCTGGAGTGGAAGCGGAATTTTGTCTTCGCGGGTGCGCGCGGGTTGCTGATGTGAGCAGCGGCACCGGGAGAAGCCAGAAATATGAGGCAGGCGAGTGCGAGGGACATGCAATGCTTCCTCTGCCCCCGTGCCTTCCGTGAATGCCATTCTTTGCAAGACTGAGTCATGAAAAGTCAGAGCTGCTGCTTACCAGGACCCAGAAATGTTGAATGGAAGCGCCGTGGAGCTGAATTTGCAGAAGCAGTTTCTGGCGGCGTGCTTTGTTTAGTCAAACGCATTGGAGCTGCACGGGGTGACTCTTAGGGAGGGAGGTGAGAGGGAAGGAAGCAAGACCCCCCCTCGCCATGGGGTACAATGCAAGCTGGGTGTCAGTCAACGAAAGTGAATCTAGTGGTGGGCCTTATCAGGTTGTTACCCCCGCTTTGAACGCATCCGGGACACAAATCGTGGGCATCAATCGAAGCGCCCATGGGATGGGAACTTCAGAAAACGAGGAATATAGGGAAGAACAAACGTATCGGCATTTTACTACTGTTGTGCAAGTTGTCATCTTTACAGGCTCTCTGCTAGGTAAGTAAACACATTGTAAGGTTCTCCCCGCACTCACATACTTTTTGTTAGGGTTGCTGTGGCTTGTATCAGGCGGAGGACTACAGGGAAGGGATACCCAGAATAGTAAGTACTTCGAGTTTTTACTTTAGAAAAGCTACAAATATCGCAATCCAGCTCTATTTCTCCAAGATGAAAACATTGTGTTTTGTCAGGCTACAATTAACATTGGGTGTGTAAAGGCATATTTAGAATAATTATCTTGTATTATGTACCAGGTTTTCTTGACAACACCTTGTAAGCACAGGTGTTCTTTGAAGAAAACCCTCCTTACAAATTTACGCTGTAGAAGTAAGTTTATATTCCCTTTTCAGTGGAAAGAACACCATATTATCATGTTTGAGTTATAGTATCAATGTAAACTCACATTAAATAAATAAAACTTTATAATTGACTTTTCAGTGCACAGAAAGTTAATGATTCTTGCCCCTCTCTCCTTATAACCATGCAAAATGATTTTGAATGTTTGCTGCTGAAGTAAGAAATGTCGTTAAAATGATACTGAGGCCAGCATTTGGAGCCCTTTGTACAATTTGGCTATTTTAAGTTCCATCAAATACAGTGGAATAAACAGCCTCACTCAGTGTATGATTACAGTTTAAGGCTTACAGTTATATCCAATGTCAGCCCTACTTGCAGTAGATCCATTGAATTTAATGGGGCTTAAGTTAATGTTGGTTTCAACCCTTTGTAGTCAAATAGCTTGCATACTTTTTTGCACTTTCTGAAGTGTGTAAGCTGAGTGATACTGGCCTGCCCAAAAGGTGAATTGTAGTTTTGACAGTACCCCAATGCAAAGTCAATGTTCTACTATGGCATGTCTGCATAGTGTACCTCCACTTTCGAGAACTTCATGCATAGTAACAGGTTGCATGAATGCGGCTGTGTGTGAGGATCTTCCTAGCTGAATGTTATGTGGCACTTACCACTTGTTCTGGGGAAAGGGGTGAGTGCTTGTCTGGAATTAGTTTCTTCTAAATAGGTGATAAAGCTCCCAATACTGATGGTGCATTCATCAGTGCGCACACATGTTGTGTAAGAATATTCCATACTTACTACTAGATGTTGGGTGCAATTTTTGTCTACACAGCAGCTTTCTGCATGTGTAAATTGCATACAGAGGTGCACATCACTTGGAGAAGTCTTGTTTGGTTACCTGGAACTCTTTCTAGGTACCCCCCTACCCACCATCATGAAAAGAAATCTGGACTTTTAAAATCCTGAATTATGAGTCAAGCAATACCTTTATTAAGACCCTTCAGGTACACACAACACTATAGGCAAGATTTCAAGATCTCCATCTCTTATTCATCAGAAAGGTGTTTCCAAAAATGTGGGGAGCAGGGGAAGCTACCAAGACACGCCATCCATTTAACTCTCTGTCTCTTTCTCCCCTCTGTCTTAAGATGCTGCCTATGCCCACTTGAAAATAGTCAGCCTTTCTTACCTCTCCCAATCTGATTTTTGTAACATCTTTCTTGCTACAATTTTGTGCATGCTCAATTTGTCTTAAAAATACTTCCTGGCAATGGACTTTGGAATTCTTTTTACATACCAGGATGCTTATTTTGTTTTAAATCCTATCTAAATACATGAAACTGACAGCTGAAGAATTCCAGTCTTTAGGTTCTATTTGTTGTTAACCATTATATTTACTTTTTTTATTAGAAAGGCTTATGCAAACCTTCCAAACATTTGTACTGTCATACTGACTGAAGATCCATTAAAATATAATCATTTGGTGTTTTCACAGTTTCTAAGATAAACAGGATAATTATGGTAACATTGTTTTCAAGCTGTATTCATTGGTAGTGGATTAATTGAGTTATTAATGCATTAACTTTGAAAAGACAGGCACTTGACCACATGAAAGCTTTAACACTGGGATTAGCAAGGATTGCTGGTTATTGATGTCCTTCTGAAAGTTACCATAATTTTCTTAGGCTAAGTTACCTTTGTAGATTTGGAGATGCTACAGTAAAACATAAGTTTTATGATCCTGCTTCTTTGACACTTGTCTGATGTTTCAATTAGTTTGGAAGACACTTGGAAGCAATGGAGTTTTACTGCTTTCAAAGTGCCACTAAAATTCCAGCAGCTGCAGAGTAGAATCCTCATCTTGTTATGTGCTGCCCTCCCTAGATCAAATGTATGACCTGCTGATCTAGCAAGTGCATTTATGAGCCTTGGAGTTTGTATTTATAGTAATACGTATATCACACTATTTCTACCTATGTGGCTTTCTTAGGTATGTTTATTATAGTTCAATAATATTTTTCTTGCATATTTCTTGTATAATTTTCTTGTATAGTTTTACCTCGGTGAATTCAAGATGGACGCTCCACAGAGTCTTTGGTTTGGTGTAAATATAACACTGCCCAATTGCCTCTTCCCCTCTCATAAGATTTTTGCTTTCCTTTTCAGTTCTGAAGCTGAGTAGGGTTACTGTTAGATAATATTCACTGGCATTTTCTCAAAACATATTTAACATCCATCTTTGTAGTTGTGACTAGAAGGCATTTCACAAATGGTGGTTTTGGCTACTCATGGTTAGTTATTGCACCGATATCGCATAGCATGGATATCTTCATCTTCCCAAACAGAAATTCTTGAGTGAGAGCACAAAGGAGATGGGGGAAAAGGGTGCATGAGCTCTTGGGATGCTCCCAAATCCAGTTTCCTGTCCACAGCTTGCACAATCTGTGTTGTTCTGTGCTGACTGTGGATCCATCTGATATTTCTTCCATCTAGCCCACCTTAACTAGCTTGCTAATCAAGATACCATGGGGCACTTTGTCAAAAGCTTTGCCAAGGTAAAGTTAGATAATGTGCACAGCATTCCCACAGTCCAGTAGGGAGGCTACTCAATTAAAAAAAAGAGAATTGGATTAGTCTGGCTGAATTTGTTCTTGAGAAATCCATCTTGGCTTTTACTAATCACTGCATTGTTTTCAAGGTGTTTGCAGACTGACTGCTCTTAAATCTGCTCCAGAATTTTCCAAGGATTGATGACAGAGTGACTGGTCTATAGTTCCCAGGTTGTTGTTCTCTTTTTTTTCTTTCTTGATGATAGAGACAACATTAGCCCTTCTCCACTTCCCTGTCCTCCTCCATGATTTCTCAGAGATAACAGACAGTGGTTCTGAGAGTTTTTCTATTGCCTCCTTTATGACTTCTAAGATAGAATTCATTGGGCTCTGGAGATTTGAACTCATTCAACCTTGACCATTTGTCTATCAATCTTGAGCTGCCATCCTGCTCCTTCTGCTTATACTTCCCTTTCATCAGGAAGATCATGAATCTTCTTTTGGAAAACTGAACCAAAGTAGGAATTGAACACTTCTTCCTTTTCTTTGTCATTTGTTATCATTTTGCTATCTACATTGAGTAGCTGAACCACTGCGTCTTTCCTTGGTCGTTAAGTTTGGACATATCTGAAGAAGGCTCTTTGTTGCTTTTAGCCTCCCTCACTAGCCTCAGTTCATTTCTTGCTTTAGCCTTCCTAATGCCATCCCTGCAAGTCTGTGCTACCTGCTTTTATTCTTTTTTTTTTTTTTTTTGGTAGCCTGGCCTTCATTCAACCGTTCCTTTTCGTTTTCAGATCATCTCTAAGCTTTTTGTGAAGTTACATGGGTTTCCCTTGTCTTCTACCCCTTTTCCTTGTTGAAATTGTTTGTAATTGTGCCTTTAGAATGTCCTTTTCTTAAAATTCCCACCCATCTTGGATTCCTTTTCTCATTAGAGTCCCTTTTTGTGGAACTTAGCATTGTTCTGAGTTGATTAAAATTGGCTACATTTGACTTTTGATTCCTTTGGCATCAAGAATTCAAGTATGACATAGTCACTTTCCCCCAGAGTTCCTGTAGCTGCCACTTTGTCCAGTAGGGTCTTCTCTGTTAGTGTCAAGTCGAGGAAACCTCTTCCTCCCTCCCTCCTTCTGTTTTCTGTTGGAGGAAGTTATCAGCAACACAATGTTAGGAATTTCTTGGAGGGTCCTTGTTTGCAGAATTTTTTTCTAACAGATATTGGAGAAATTGAAGTCCCTCATAACAATGATATTATGCATCCTTGAAACACTGGCAATTTGGTTTTCAAAAGTTTTATCCTCCTTGACTGGGTGGTCACTAATAGACTCCAGCCACTGTGTTCCTTTTATTCCTTGCTCCATTTATATTAATCTAGATGCTCTCAATAGAGCTATTGAGCTCATCCTCCTATATTTCTGTGTAGAGATACATATCTTTAACATATGTGACCCCACCTCTCTTTCTGTTCCTTCAGGTTGTATCCAATGGGTCTGCTACTGTCAGTTTCCAAAAACCCAGAAAGAAAAAAACAAATTCTTGTGTTTACTGACAGCTGAAAACCATTGCCCTCCAGTACTTTCTGCTGGGTCTAGGAAGTCACTCCAGAAGCATAATCTGTTGGGGATTTTTATAAATGCTGGATGATGGTTTTAATAAGGATTTTCTAATTGAGTTAATTCCTGGCAATGAAATATAGCTGATGCTTTTATACATATGTTTTGGCAATACCCATTAGTTCCTTCATTTTAAGAGAAGTTTATTGCACACATAAATTTTGTACTGGACCATCTTTAATATTCACTAATAGGCTCATTTTCTTATTTATTAACTTTATGACAATTAACAGATGGAAGGGGAAATGGATTCTCTGGATTCTTTTGGCAGCTAAAAGAGTCATATTACAGAACTGGAAGAATAAACACACCCTATAATAAAATGGATTAAATACTTAAGAAAACTTTTGATACATGAATGGGTGACAAAATGGGCGCCATCTTCAAAGGGATACAGACCAGATTTATTGACGCCTATCTATGATTGTATGGAATGTATACAAGCTTCTAGCAAACTCATGCATGCTCATTAAAAACAGAAAAGTTTAATTTAGCTTAGATTTTTAAGAAATTGAGTACACGAAGGCCCCATGTTGGGAAC